TATTGGTCTTCAAGCATCTTTAGAACGGTTGAAAAAGTCACTATCCGGTGCATGGATAGCGCTATCCAGCTTTCATACAACCGACCCCTGGTGTGGTAGTTTCCAATTTCAGCCACCCACCTTCCTGCTCAACATTTTTTTTTACTATATTATTTCCATATAGTAATTGCTCTCTTCGCCTTTGTTGTCATATGCCACACTACCGTACGTGGAAAACCTCTTGCTCCTGGAAACACTACAAATATCTGCACGAGAAAACAGGTGATGAAAAATCTTTGCGACACCATAAAACGAGACATGGGAACTTTGTTCAACATGGCAGATAAAAAAAGGGTAAGTAAAAATCCTTCACCGACTTTTCAAACAGCTAACAATTAACGAAGCAAAGCGCTCAGCAAAGAATAATCAGGTCACAAACATCCCTCAATATAATGAATATATTGTCTGCAACAACAATAAATTGACAGTACAAAAACTGCACCATATAACCCTTTAAAATTTGGACAATTCGTTCCACTCCATTCTCGGTATTCCTACGTACAAATTTGTTCCTATATATAGCACCGTGGTAATACAAAGACTCATCCTCGATCAAGGAGCATGTTACTAACCTTTTCTACAGTGAAAAAGCTGGGGAAAGACAAGGTATGTTTAAGTAAAGTATATCTATCGAGAATAGTAAAAAAAAAACTTGAAAAACAAGCTGAATGTATGTAATGATAACATCACTAGTTTCAAACCGTTTAAAGGAAAGGCATTTAGGAGAATTCTTTATAGTTATTTGCTCTTTCGTTTGGCTAAAAAATATGTAATTAAATTGTATTTATTTTATGTCCAGGGCCGTATACAGCGAGGGGCAGAGGGGCAGATGATCCCCCCTAAAAAAATGCAACCTACAATTTTTAGAAGTTGTATGTGATGTCCAGTTTATGAAAATACACTGTTCCCTATCCAAGAAAGATCACTGCTTCCCCCTCCCCCCCCCCCCTCAGCTCAAAAATTTTGCGTACGGCCCTGCTTATATGTCCTTCATTCCACCAGACCAAATGGTAGCTCCTATCTAACTGAATTACTTGCATGTTTCAAAAGCTATATGTAACGTCCACGTACGCTTTCGTTTCTGATCTTCAAGGGTCATATAACTCCCTAAAAAATGTCTGTCATGCGTCCAAAATTTTATTTGCGATGCAGAAAATTTCGGCCATGATAAAGTAATAAAAACTGACTATCCTGGTCTTTTTTCTTCAGATTGTGGAGCGTCTCTACTTCTTTCACAACATCCTCGGAGATGCTTACGGATCCTTTGGTAGTGCGAGACGTTATCAAAAGATAAAAGTAAAGACTATCAACGTCGTCATCCAAATCCAAGCATTGGTAAGTTACCTTTTAGAGAAAATCGATATTTTAAACTTCGGAATAAGAACCACATACGCTCGCTAAGCGAATTCTGGCTTTGTTTGTGCATGATAAGATAGTTTTATAGTCCAGTGTATTCTATTAAGTTCCGTGTGGTTTAAAATATGCTAGAAAACATGCATCTGACTACTGAATGAATAATGTTTGCATATTATATAAGTGTACATGCATGCATGCAGAACTCCTATAGATTAAGACTGTTAGGGGCTGTTTACATGAGCCCGGTTATCCGAGATTCAACGAAGCGTGAGAGGACTTTGAGGTATTGAAATAAGTCTTTATGACACCAAACAAGCACATGCTATTGTTGTGGTGATTATACGACTGCCAGGATCATGTTATATCTGCTCATTTCAACACCTCAAAATCATCTCACGCTTCGTTGAATCTCGGGTAACCGGGCTCATGTAAACAGCCCCTTAACTAGATTCAATTGATTCACTTATGCTAGGCCGATATTTTGAAGAACAATACAAAATGCAACCCTGGACAACCGGGGAACGAATTTGCGTTTAATTTGCCCACCGATAATCCGCTGTCTGGAAACATCCCGGGTTTTCTGTACCATTTTGTCGCCCTCCTGAGGGAGATGCTGCCGGAATTCGAGAAAAACGTTGTAAAAGAACTCAAACTTATATAATAAATTAGTGTATATACCGTGCATGATGTATATGAGAAAGTAACTTCAATGAAGTATTATATAAAAAATACAATAAAAATATTGGTTATGTTAATCAAAAAGTTAAAAAGAATATAATATTTAAAACAATGTAGTGGATGTTAAATATATGATGTATGAATTAATATAGTTTTAATTGTTAAATTGTTAAAATAAAATTGTTAAACACAAACATTAGTTGCCTTTCATAAAGGTGGCCAATACCTAAAAAATATTTATAATTGAATTAATATTTTAAAAGATAATTTTGATGTTAAACGATGTTGATATATTAAAATATATAAAGTTCAAGTAAAAATTAAAGTATCTTTTTATTGAAATAATGGTAAAATTTATGGTACATTGAATTTATTTCTGTTTCTTGACGGAAAGAAAGTGGCATTTACGTTTAACCAGAATGCATGCATTTGACAGTTGCCAATCTTAATTTCGCTTCTCTTTTCCTTCCATTTTCCGAAGAAAGAAACTTTTTCTTTCTTATATATATGGAGTTTATTGACTAGGATACGTGAACAAGATTAAGTTCAATTAAACGCAGTCAATTAAATGTAGTCAATTTATTATATGAATAAAAGTTTAAAAAAACTAAAAAAGGAATGTGAGTTGACTATTGAACTTAGGTAAACTGGAACGCTAACCTCTGACAAACTAGCTTGAAGCCAAAATAGTTTTTCTAAAATACTTGACGTCAGACGGTGGGCCTTTATTTCAAATTAAAACTATTGAAAATTAAGTTATTGTTCCAGTGTTTTTACGGTTTAATGGGGTTGTCTAAACCGAACATGTATAATTTATCACGTCTTAAGTGCAAGTATTTGACTTGCTTCGGACTAAACGAAGCCTTATATCTTCCCGTTAAATACTTAAATATATATTTGTATCCATGCTCAACGCGTTTCAGTATGTGCTAGGGTTTTATAGCTATATAACTTTTATTGTTCGGTTTATTATTCATACAGCTTTCATTGAAACGATAACGACCCCGAACAACTCTTAAAGCTTGCTTGAACATACCCATTCTCTTTAACTACACGCGTAAAAACGCTCAGGTTAATGCAAGTTGATATAAACAGGATGAAGCAATGTTGTGCTGCCCACATTGTTCAGAGTTGTTATCAACATTGAACAATATTGTTGAAACTGAATCGGGTGTAACAATATTGTTCAATATTGATAACAACTCTGAACAATGTGGGCAGCACAACATTGCTCCATCCTGTTTATATCAACTTGCATCAACCTGAGCGTTTTTACGCGTGTATGCTTAATCATATTTCTAAAAATTAAAGCATATAAGAATCTGGCCTATAATCGTACAAAAAACGAGGTTTACAACGCCGAAAATGAGACCATTAGCATTGTGTAAATAGATTAGCATTAAGAAATTAGTAATTAGGAAAGCTGCGTGCCCATTTGCTCCACTTAAACAGCCTATAATGATTTTTCGCCTGCTGTTAAAACTAAACAATGTTCCGCCTTGACTTTTTTCACACAGGTGGCTGCAATAAGGTTCAATATTGTCGAATGTAAAAAAGTGGTGTGTAAGCCAGTTGGAACTTTCTGAACAGCAAAACATTGTTCAATAATGAATGTTTCTTTCAATATTGCACCAAGTTGATCATTTTTGTCCTGTATATTCAAGTTTCCTTTTTATCAGCTTTTGTTTTATCTGCTTTTTGTCTACACAGCTGAAGACTCTGAGCCCTCGGTTTAACGGCATTGAAGAAGACGTACTATGCCCTTATTGTCAACACTTGCATGTTATAACAATATTGGACAATTGTTTTACAACCGAACCGGCTGTATCAATATGCTGTTCAATGTTGATAACAACTGTGAACAATATAGACGACACAATAGGTTGTTAAATCCACGTCAATTAGGTGCCGTTCACATGCATGCACAGTACCGAATTCATTTCGTATCGGATTCTGTATCGAATCCGGTGTCAAAAACGTGCTTTGTTCACATGTTTTTGACACCAGATTCGTTTGGCGGGAATTCGCTTTCAGGCTGCTCTCCGTTCAAAATGGCCACCGACAAAACGAAATCAAATGAGAAAGATACTTTTGTTTGGACGGATAGCGAAGTAGAACTTTTATCAGAGTGTGTCAAGGAGTTTGTATGTAGCCTTTTTCGTCTGCTAACAGGTTTCGTTGTTGTCAGTTTTCTTGCGAGCAGTTTTTTCTGACAAACAAAATATGTGGTTAAAAGCTTAAACATCCCTAATTGAATTTGCATCAAATTTGTGATGCGAATCGTCATAGCAAGAAAAATTCTACCCAACCCATGTTTGTTTAAGTTAAAATTGGAAATGGCTCCAAATTTTCGTCTCTGGACCGAAACCTATACCGGGTTTTGTGTGTTCATGCACACGGGCAATCGGTTTTGATACCACCTTCACAGCGACTGCTCCGAAAAAGCGATATCCGATACGAAATGTATCGGATTTCTTCGGAGCTGTTCGAGCACAAGGTCTATCCGTCGGTCTATCCGCGGTACGAAAAGTAATGAAGAATGGCCAATTGGCCCACTAATGATTGAAGCGTCATGTTGTTTGCAATATAGCGGATTTATATAAAAACCGTTTGAATGAACCACTGCGGAAGTCCAATGGCTGTCCTGGGAATTTTTATGCATTTTCTCATACGGCCAAGGTCTTGCTAAAGTATTTGAAGTGTTGCAATGCGTTTTTTTCATGCAGTTTCTGTGTTTCATGTCTTGTATAACAAAAAGATAAAGTTATTTTGCTCGATTAGAGTTGAGACGCGTGTCTCTACACAGAGGATTGGTCCTGTCTTTCGATTTATGACATAAACCGACCACATTTCCACCGCATGCGGTAGCTTAATTCAATAAACACTGAAATATCCATTATTAATGACCGGCAAATTGCTCGAAACAGGCGAACAGGTGGCAAGCCAAGTCCTAATGCGTAGTGCGAATGTCTGAGTCAATAGCCAGTGAAATGCATAAAGAATTGACCGCTTTCAATGAAAGGATATGAATTCAGACGATGGGGAAAATGGGGACAAGGAATAGCCGATCAATGCATGAAGGTAGGATCAGAGTTTTGCGGGAAAATAGGTCGAAATCCGACTTTAAGTGGATCATCGTCAGGAGTTGTTTTTATATTATATTGCTCGCCATAAGGCAATTGCTGTCACAATAATTTTCCAGCTTTTTGCCTGTTTATTATTGACAAATTCAAATTTTCTACGATGATATCGCCTGCCAATGTCTTCTTGAACAGTTTTGTGTTTTCAAGTTTGTTTTTGAGGCCATTGATGGTTATATATGGCTATGTATTTGTATTTGTATTGCTTAAACGTTCATTGTTTACTTCGCACAAACTTATGTACTCCTCATAGACATGCTAAAAAAATTGCATCTTGGAACTTCATATAGCGAAGATAGTTATATCAATTACGTGATTTGATGAAGTAATACCGATTTTAGCTAAGAAATGAATTGGTCCGTCTCGTGTGCTATCAAATGTGTACGAATTTATGCGTTTGACTCTGTTTAATGCAGCGATGTTTGGGTTTAATAAAATATACAGACCTGTCGCTAATGGTTCTTGTGTTCGTATAAAGCATGCAATTGTAGCACCCCCGTACCGATTAAAGCGAGTCCCAGTTTGTCCGTGCAATCAATGATGCGTTATATGTATCACATTTTTATAAGCTTATGGGGCATGTTATTACGACCCGCAGAATAGCCCTATATCAAACAGTATTGGCCCTAGCATAATAAAGCGAAGATAGCGGCCTATTTAGCCCACACAAACTAAAGCAGGCGTAGGCAGTTCCATCACGACTATAGCCTCATCCTTTTTTTATAGATTTGTTTTTCTACTTTTATCAGTGCTGAAAAAAACCCTCATAAATCATGCGTTCAAAGCCGAACAATGTCACATAATTATGCAAATTCTTAAATGTCTCAAATCGATGCATTCTACCGGCTCTGTGATGCAAACAACGCGATTTCGAACACTTTATGCATATTCTGTCTGTTTAATTACAGTTTGACATCAGTCTTTCGACTGCAGCTTGCAAATTCACACTAATGGCATACGCTCTGAAGTATAATTACATAAATTGAACTGGACCCTTTAAGGCGCCATCATTGTTATCCTGTGTCTATATTTCTGCGTAATAGCTATTGTATGCTAGTCTTACAACTCAATTTAATATAAATGCGTCCAATAAAATGAAGCCCGACCTGAGCTTTCCTATTATAAGATACAGAATACAATAGTTATCGTAATGGACTAATGGTTCATTTTGGGGATCGACTTTAACGATACGTATACAAATTTGATAATAATTTTGGCGTCAAATCCTGTATGGGATGTTTGTCTACGCCATCTCTTAAAAATCGCATAGTTTTCAGACGTTTTAACCGTAGCCGTAGGAGAATCGGTATCAAAAAGATAAAATCTCGCCAAGGGCATTCAATTAGTCTATTATCCGATGAGGTTGCTGTGGATGCCGCGAAGTCATACGATAAGAGACATTTTTTTGAAAGGTGCGGCAAATTGATCAAATGAAATGGTTGAACATTTTACCAAAAATTCGTGACGGCAACGAAATACAAAACGTCATCACAACAAAGAAAATAACCTCAAGTTTATGTTTGTCCTTCGAGGGACCTCAATTCTTTCTGTTTATAATTATAAACAATTTTTGTTCGCAGAATTCTCGTAAAAAGTAAATTCATCCTGTCCGATCTTGGATGTACGAAAACCTGAACGACATATTACGCAACATGAATGGATATTACGTAACATGAATGGATATTACGAGACATGAATGGATATAACAGCAAATTTTCATGACATGTTACCTAAAGATAATTCTAGTCCTCAGCATTTTCGTAAAAAAGTAAATTAATCTTGTGCGAAATGGAAATTGCATTTTAATATCGACCATCGCTGTTGCAATTACGCTTTTGTATTCTTATGATTTTATTCTAAAAATGCAGTTTTCCAGTCTTGCCCCAACTTTCTGTATAGAACTGCATGCCTAGGAAAACAAATAAACCACCAAATATTATTTTCTTAAAAATATCTGAATATCTGGCTATCCATGCAGCAAATTTTCCCAAAGGCTAAACCACTAGAAGTTGCCATAGTTGCCATGCAATTAACGCGAAAATATTTTCATTAATTTTTTCATTCCTATAATGTGCGCGCGTTCCCAAGCACGTATTTACAAAAAAGAAATTGAAAAGCGAAAATGAAAAATCAAATATCCAATGTCACTTTACCCCCTGTGCAGAGTAACCCAAACAAGTTGAAATGAATGACAGTTTTCGCTGTTTGATTTTCTGATTATTTTATAATTACGGGCGAGAATATTTGCCACTTTTTCCAATTCGAATCGATGTCTTTCCGAATGTAAAGACTTCGCCAACTATTGGACTATAAAATTAGGCGAAAGTCTCAGGAAACTTCACTGGGAATCCCCTTTCAATCGTCTAGCTCGTGTCAATTTGTATCGGCTTGTTCGCGTCAATTTGTTAACGTGTGTATTTAGTGGAAAAGCTGTGGTTAAAACATAATGTCGCTTGTCTCGCCTAGCTGAGAAACTTTAGTAGCAATAACGTCGCAGAACGTTCTGGCAACTTCAACGCAGCAGATGCATGCATTAGGACTTTTAGGAGGATGGAATTAAGCAATAATAGGCAATAACCCTTACAACGCCCATGCATGCAGTGAAGCAAGGTATATACTGGATGGACATGCGGTAATTGCTGTATTTTTCGCGCCCTAAGCTTCTAATTAGCCTTGACCCTTGAATTACTTTGTTTTGGCGTCAAAGTAGTTAATCTAAAGACGAAGATCTCTTGTTTACTCAAACCCAACAAGGGAGAATTTCGTTTGAAAAACTATGCCGCAAATTTTTTTAAATTTTTCAGGCTAAACTAATCGGAATGTTTAATCTTTAATACTTCATGTAAAATGGTAAATAATGTACCTCTTAACTGAAAGTGGTCGATATCTAGGCTTTCCGAATGGTTACTGAAAATGCAAACAAATTTGTTCATTGGTTTAAAACAATATTCCTCCTTGTTTTTAAACCTGGGATCAACAAGTAACGAAGAAGACTTTTTTAGGTCGTCTAAAATGCTCGTTGAACTTTTCACAGCTCCTTCCGTCGACGAAGGCCCAGATGCCGACATTGAGTCACCAAGGTCACCTCGAGATAACTGCATGTCCAGTTGTGAAAACAGTCTTGATGAACGCGGTTCAAAGAAAGGCTCATTTTTGCGTATTTTACGAGGTACATGCGAGAAATTAAACTTGTAATCTCTAAGTAAATTAGCTTGTAGGTACACCACGTAAGTATTTATCCTGCAAAGCTTTCGGTCCGTTAACCCGGGCCTTCTTCAGTGCGATAAATGAAGACCCGGGTTAACAGACCGACAGCTTTGCAGGATAAATACTTACGTGGTGTACCTACAAGTTAACTCACTTACACTCTAAAAATATACTTATATCACCATGCAAACGCACATTAATATTATTATCTCTATTTTACCATATTGACTTTAACTAAAGTTACTAGTACTTCACTGTCTGTGTCTCCCCTCCTCCTCGACCTTGTAAAAATCCTTTCGTACGGCCCCATCACTTTGCTATTCATTTCTTTGCGTTGAAGAGACCATTTCCTTGTGCCAGGGTTAAACTACCCGCAGCTTTACTATAGATTTTTGTGGTTGTAAAGCCTACTATATTATCATTTTACAGGTCGAAGAGCCAGAAACAAGTCTCAGGGTAGCGAAGGAATGATGTCTGATGGTAAAGCATTTTTTACTTTTTTTATTTATTTATAAATTTTTACCGCAATTTATTTATAATTTTTTACCAAAATGGCACATTTTTACACGATGGCTAGTAATCTATTCTGCGCGGGACATGAAAGTGTTCTTCTAAGAAAATCTGAGATTTTAGGGAAAAAGAACTCACTAAAAAACAGTACTTGCTGTTTACATGATCTCGCTTAGCCGAGATCAAACGATGTCTGAAATGACTTTGAGGTATTGAAATGACTTTGAAGTATTGAAATGACTTTGAGGTATTGAAATGAGCATGTAACATGATCCTGGTAGTGGTGTAGTTACCGCAACAATATGATGCGCTCGGCTTTTTCTACATTTTTTACTTCAAAATCATCTAACGCTTTGTTGAACCTCGGATAACCGGGCTCTTGTAAACAGTCCCTAAGGGGGAACATTCAAAGTCACGTGAACACGAATCGGCCAATCAGAGCTAGTTTAAGTGCTGGATATATGACAATACGTGTATTTTCTAGCCTGCTCTCTGGAATCATCATTCAACTGTGCAGCAGAGCGAAGCGAGGGAATTGACGGATTGCTGTTGAAGACGAAATTCACAAGGGCAGAGTTGCAAAGAATGTACAGAGGCTTTAAAAATGTGAGTTTTAATCGGCCATACCGGTCCACTTGAAGAACTTTAATTTAAATGCTATCTTGACATAAAAAGTCAACGCTTACAGCACAGCTTAAAGGAAATGCAGTATGCCGCCATTCCCTATTCCTATGAAATCGAGGAGCGAAAGTAATGATGACCAAGCTAGCTCTGCAAACACTGCGACGACATGCGTTTGCGCATGCGCGCATTTATTTCGGAATGGACATGTTAACATACATGGCGAGTCATGTATAGATCAACTATGACTTCGACCAACACAATATTCGGTTGAATATTGAAGGTTAAAGATAAAAAAGTTTCGAAGTGTGGTGTATTCACATTGGTGACTGGAAAAAAACAAGACCTAGACTCATAAAGCAGAACCTCAATTTGAATAGTTGATGCTTACCGGGTTCCGCACAATACATATGTTTTTAGGAACATTCAAATGATCCACGATATATCCTCTCATTTCTAGGATTGTCCTGAAGGTTATGCCGATAAGGAGGCATTCAAGAAAATTTACGCTCAATTTTTTCCTCACGGAGGTGATTGTCATTTCGAATATTAGCAAACGTTGGTTGTACCAATGTGGCATAATATTAAAGCAATCTTCAGACTTCTGAGATGGATAATTCTCCTAGATTTATATGGTTCTATGCCACGTTTCATTTCATTGTTGTTTTTCAATTTCAGACTCCGGACAATACGCTGGTCTTGTTTTCAACGCATTTGACCTGAGCAGAAGAGGAAAGCTTTCATTCGAGGTAAATAATTGATCATTTCAGATTGGGTATTCAGGCGCATAAAAACCGAAAAAAGGGAGGTGAACTCAAACTTAGTTGGAGAGAACGTCTGGTCAGGGTGTCAGACTAATCAACTCGTACGCGGTCGACTGGCCAAGTTTTTATAGTACAAGAACTAATGCAATGCAATTTAGGCATTGGATAATGAGATGATGATCCTTTTTTAGCCTTATTATCATTTCATATACTTTATTATGTATATTCATAAAGGTCTGTTCACACGATCCAATTTTGACGTATGAAATATAGTTATTGGCAAAACAGTACTGCAGTGGATTTGCTGCCCGTATACATTACAAGACAACAGACTGTAAAACATCCGTCAGAAGTGAATTGGATCTAACAAAATTGGGTAGTGTTAATAGACCTTAACTGCATTCAACAGGGTTTCGGCACAAGGCAAGGAAATTTCCTTGCAATTGACCACCACGAGGGAGGGAGGGAGGGCTCTGTTTTATTAGAATATTTTATGCTTTATTTTCAAAAGTTCTTTGTTTCTCTCTTTTGTCATTGCCATCGCCCTATGCATGCGTGTGGACAGTCATATGCAATAAGTTGTGGAAACCCTGGCATTCGACGCGACTACAGCTTGTATGCACTGGGCCTAAACGAACTTTGACATGACTTTAGCTAGAAAATCTAAACTTTCCAGGACATATGACCTATTTTCCATAGAATAGCCGTATCTTTTTCACACTAAGAATCTAATTCAAAGCTGGCTCTTGCCTTGGCCCAGGCTGATGATGGGTAAACACGACAATGTCTCGTGACCTATAAACTATTTCGACCTGATTAATACGTCGCATTTTGGTCACGTCGAATGCAATCCAACCAGTAGAGAAAGAAGATAATCATACCTGACTAAGGGCAGCAAATATTTCAAAATTTCAAATACGTTAAGTTTCTAATTTTGCTAACCAATTTTGAAATTGCATGCATTTGACGCGTCCAAAATGCAAGGCCTGCAATGAATGATAATAAACGCTTGATATTTGATGACTCTTTCTTAGAATTTTATACTGAGACTATCGACTGCACTGCACGGAACCACAGAGGACAAACTAAGATGGATGTTTCATATTTACGATGTTGACGGGGATGGAATCATTTCAAAACCAGATTTGAACGCCGTGGTTTCGGCTGTCCATAATTTAATCGGATCTTCCGGGCCAAATGAGAATCACGCCATTAACAATCAAGTGCGTCGAATCTTTGAGGTGAGTTTTCTGTTTTTTAGTCGGACCGAGCTACAATACGTCACTTCTTTGTTGTATCAGTGAATGACGTCATCAAGATTAAAGGCTTAAAACAAACTCCCATACTTGAACTTTTGTGAAATCAAGTTTTGCGAACGTAAAAATGTACCTTTAATGTGTTTGGGAGGACTTTATATAAAGCAACGTTTTCTTCGGCACCGTGAAACTGGTAAAACTTTATTTCAAATATAAAGCTGGTGCCCCTCAAATTTTTGCGTTTTTTCCTTCGACATCTCTTGGTTGGCCCCTCATAATTTGTGTTCGTGTTTTTGAGAAACTAACTAAGATGGCGGCAATTGGATCGAACCACATAGATCGAACCATCGACTTTGGAAAGATTGCTAAACAAATGTTCTTGTGATTTTATTTCCTCTCATATATCATTGAGTCCATATCTTCAAAATCCATAGTTTCTTCAATAAAATGTTGGTGCTAAACAAGAGATGTCGAAAATTAGTTCAGAGTTTGATACGTATATTATTCCAACCTCATTAAAAATATGCCCCTTTTCAAAATCAAGTCACTGAGGGGGGCTGTTTACATGAGCCTGGTTACCCGAGATTCAACGAAGCGTGAGAGGACTTTGAGGTATTGAAATAAGTCTTTATGACACCAAACAAGCACATGCTATTGTTGTGGTGATTATACGACTGCCAGGATCATGTTATCTGCTCATTTCAATACCTCAAAATCATCTCACGCTCGTTGAATCTCGGATAACCGGGCTCATGTAAACAGCCCCTGAATTCAATCCGATATTTAGACTTTTACCTCAGTTATTTCGATCTGGTGAAAAGCATCAATGTGATATTGTGATCGACTTTACCTAGATTCTTGATAAAAGTGACAGTGGCTGTGTGACGCAAGATATATTTATCGGCACCTGTGCAAATGTAAGTATTACTTGTGAAGTGTATGAAGTTGGGCGAGTGTGCGCAGATATGGCAAAAATAACTGAACGGTACTTTTCTTTCAAGGACGAATGCATCAGTCAAAGTCTGGCAATGTTTGATTCAAAAAGATGAGATCGTAAATTATTGGATGTTCGTTTGGACAGTTTTTTATTGCTTAGAACGAGATATATTTATGGTTGCTTATAATGGTTTCATAGATCTTTTTATCTCCTTATGAAAATCAAAAATAATGAAGGGTCTCTTGCAGGGACGAAACGATAATTGCGATATCACCAGATCCGATATTTGGGGGTGCATATTCATATACTCGTTGATTCTGCCCGACGGATTTCAGGCCGAACAGATTATATTAATATTCACCCTTTCCCCAATTATCACCCTTTCCCCAATTATCACCCTAGTCTCGTTCCTGGTCTCTTGGTAGTTTATCCCAAGACAGCGAGGCCTATATGCTGTGAACACCCTGAAGCTTGCTAATTTTTTATTATTACCACAGAGGGATAGCCAAGGTGGCAGTCGCGGTGGGCGTCTTCCTCTGTTAAAATTATCCCCCCCCGAGAGAATTATTTCATAAAAGCCGGTCCCATCTGTGTACTTAACCTCGTTGGTCAAAAATCCTGGCTACGCCTCTCTCCAGTAGATAAGGGAGGGAGGGGGGGGTTATGATACTTCTACAAAGCCGCTATCTTATGACAGTAAAACTTCTTTTAGTTTATCTTAATATGCAAGCCCAACATTAAATTAGTGTTCGCCACTGATTTCAAAGTCATTTTTTGTTCAAAAGGGCTTCACCAACTGAGCTTCAAATCTTACTAACTTTATAGTCGATCAGTGGCGAGTTTAATATTAATACATATGATAAAATGAATACATTTTTATGCTCTCAAATGAGATGAATATTTAAAACTGTTAGTTAAGTGATATAAAATACATGTATTTAATACTCAGAGTTCAACCACGTTTCTCTAAGAAAGGTGCACGGGGAAACAATTTTAGCAGTTGATTTGAGCAGCAGCAGATGTTTTTGGTAATAGAAGAAAGAAATGTTTTCACTTTTAATAGCTAGGCAAACAGCACCCTCAAAGTCTTGGATGAAAGGATTAAGTGAAAGAGACAACAACAGCCTTTGCCTTTCAGCATCATCATGAGTCGCCAAGTGGTTAAGGCACCTACAACGTTCAAGCCGTTGGTTAGAACCTTGCAACCTTACGACCTCTTCCGCTAATTTTTTTCATTTCAAAGTGTCCGAAGAACGGATTAAGTCGATTAAAAAACTGTAGTCTTTCAGCATCAGCACGGATAGCCCAGCGGTGAAAAGCGGTAAGTTCAATTCCCTGCAACGATTCGTTCTTTCGCACCGAATTCTTATTTCATTTCTAAGTCATTAAGTCGTTCACCACCAGCACTGATAGCCGAATTATATTATTTTCAAAGTCTCTCAAAAATTTGGTGAATGTTCCGCCTCCGTTAGATAATCCACCAAAGATCACAATGAAAGTTTATTTTAATGTTACCTACACAAATTACAGATGCTCACTCCCTCACAGTCTCACTCTCTCACACTATTAACTCTCTGTCTATTGACATGCGTCATAACTAAATTAACTATGATTGATTATGCAGTATGACAGGGCCTGTCTCCAACACCCTCCCCCCATGAACTTTAGGAAAGTTTATGTCTCTATGGAGGACAGGTCACCTAACAAAACAGTTTGAACATAACTAATTGGATAAATGAGCTATTAAAGTTAAGTCTCCTACTGTTCGAGTTTCAATGTCTCTTGAATTCTTGCATCAGCTGCGACTGCTGCATCTCTTCGTTGACGGAAGGTCGGGGCATTCGGGTTTAACTTCTTGCCTTTCTTCCTTTTCTCTCGTACGTCGCAGGACAGCTCAAGGGGATAAAGGTGCTGTACCGGGCGTTCGAGTTCTCCTTTGCCTGTTTTCACCTTCACGGCTCGCGTCACCCCGTCTTTACCTGGAAACGTCTCTGTCACCACAGCTAGAGGCCAACTGCCACGGCTCTTTTCATCTGTCTGAACTACAACTACGTCGCCCTTCGAAACTTTCGAACTCGTACCTCCTGCACGCATCCTATGGCGCTCGCGTAGTGCCGTCAGATACTCTCGTCTCCACCGATTCCACAGCTGATCTTTGCATTTTCTCAGGAATTTCAGTCTCTTTCGCAGATCCTTGTCTTCTTCTTCGTGTGGTTGAAGTTCTGGCAAGTGGTTAGCTCTTTGGAACAGGAAACTCGCTGGAGTCAACACCGGTAGCTCCACGTCGTCTTCGACATAACTCAGCGGTCGTCTGTTTATCTGAGTTTCTACATCGAGTAAAACTTCGCTCAGCTCGTTCCAATATAGGATTCCCTTCCCGATTACTTTCCTGAGAGAGCTTTTGACGACTCCGATCAACCTTTCGAATTGACCCCCCCACCATGGGGCCCGAGACAAATTGAAGATCCATTTGATTTCGAACTCTTCGAGAAGCTCATGGAACTGTTCTTCCTTCTGAACTTTCTTAAGCCATTTCGTTGCTTTCACAAACGTCCCGCCGTTGTCAGAATAGATCACACGAGGTCTACCGCGACGGGCAATAAATCTCTTTAAACAGGGGATGAAAATCTCTGTCGTTAGATTTGGAAGCAACTCCAAATAGATGGCTCGAGATAAACTGCACGCGAAGATTACTAGGTAGGCTTTTGCTTCCTTCTTGGTTTTCTTGTACCGAATTGGGCCGGCGAAATCGACACCTACGACTTCGAACGCTGTTTCTCCGACGGTTCGATTCTTTGGAAGGTAGCCAGGTGCAGGCGTCTTGAACGCTACTGCCCGAAACCGCTTGCATCCCCAACATTCACTACGCACTCTTTTCACCAGCTGTCTAAGCTTCGGGATCCAATATGTTTCTCTTATAGCAGCCATGGTCAAACCGACACCGCCATGCAAAGTGATGGTATGGATTCGCTGGACCAACTTCCTTGTAAACGTAGCAGTGGTTGGCAGGTAGATTGGGTACGCTCCTTGTACTCTCCCATGACATAACAACACGCCGTCTGGATTCTCTTTGAGGTTGAGGGCCTCTTTCGTTTGGGTGAATTGTGGAGTATTGCTAGCTTTATCTTGGACTCGTTTGATCCACCATTGCTTTGCTTCGTTTGTCTCTGAAACACTAAGGGGCCCGTTTCGTTTCTCTCGGTTCCTGCAATTGTGAACGAATCGTAGCACCCACGAAGTGACTCTCAATGTTCGACGCAGTTCGTTTCTCTCGAGGACAAGATCCAAATCATTGCTCTCTGCGTTTGTCTGGGCTGCGCACAGGACCTCACGGACAATCTTTGCCTCAGCTTGTGATTCTTTAGATGGTTGGATGATTGGACTTTCTGGCCACTTTTCTGGGTTTCCTAACCATCGTGGACCGTTCAACCACAACTCCGTCAACTGGCCTCCTCTGCTTCCAAGATCTGCAGGATTCTGATCTGTGGGAACATGATGCCATTCGACAGATGTGTGCGCACGAACCTTTGCAACGCGATTTGCAACGAATTGCCGATACTCTCCTGCTCCTTCAATCCAGTAAAGGGCCACGGTGCTGTCCAACCAACAATGCTGTTCGATAACTTTGTCCTCCCCGATAGCTTTAGCGACATTTGTGATTAAATTAACGGCCATGTGTCCCGCGATGAGTTCAAGTCTGGGAATGGTAAGACCCCTCTTCGCGAGACGAGATTTGGCTGCGACGAGCATCTGTGTTTCACCCGAAACTTGTTTACTCACTCCGTAAACAGCAGCAGAGACTCCCTGGCCACTCGCGTCTCCAAAAGCATGAAGACAAATTTTGTTGATGTGTTCCTGGTATGGAGCTATCGGTCGTGGTACCGTCACAGATGAGGGCGTTGATTGTTCCCACGACAACCATCGCTTTCGTAGGCTACCTTCGAGTTCGGCATCCCATGGTAACTTGGCGTCACAGGTCTCGCGATAGATCAGTTTCCCTTGCAAGGTGAGGGGAGACGCAATGCCCAACGGGTCATATATCTTTGCGAGTCTACTGAGGATTTCTCTTTTTGTTGTTGTCTTGCCTCCAGCCTTTGGAAACAGGACGCTCAGCGAATCTTTGGCTTTGTTCCATGGCATTCCGAGCATCTTTGATTCGTTCGGGTTTACGCCAAGCTGCTGTTTGGCAGCAGTTTGGTCTTCGACTGCCTCATACTCTCCTGTGTTGTCTTCGAGGGCACTCACGTTCGAAGCCCACTTGTGAAGTTTGAAGGTCGCGTCTTCGAGGATGTTAATCGCTGCCTCTTTCCGTTGCTTCGCTTGGCCCACAGTTTCTCCACCACTGATGATGTCGTCAACGTAGAGGGACCGTTCGAGCTCTGCTACGTCTTCGGGCCGATGGCGTCTCCATTGTTCTAGGTGTGAGGCTATCACTCCCCCAAGAAGGAATGGCGATGAGGAAAGACCAAATAGGACTCTCGTAAACCGAAGAGTTCTCAAATCTCCACCGGTCGTCGTCCAATGAAATCGTAGTGCGTCTCGTTCTGCTTCTCTGATGCGAATCTGGAGAAACGCTTTCATGATATCACCAGTAAGAGCGACAGGAAAGGTTCGCTGTCGCACTAGCACTTCCCACATCTTGTTTTGTAAGGGTGGTCCAGGATAAAGGCATTCGTTCAGTGAAGGATCATGCTGGGATGGTTTCGCAGACGCGTCGTACACCACTCGCAATTTTGTTGTGGCGGCGCTTTCTCGGATGACTTCTCGATGGGGTATGTAGAACTCGACTCCGTTTACGAGGGTTGGCGCTTCTTCAACGACACCTGCTGCATTTGGTCTTCTATCACTTCGGCGTAACGTTCGAAAAGATCTCGCTTGTTCAGCCGGTTCTGAAGGGCTGTAAGACGTCTCAAACTTCCTTCTCGATTGTCTTTGAGTGGTGGATGGTTCCCTTTCCACGGTAACCCCGTTTCGTACCAACCTTCTGGTGCTCTGGTCAACTGCTCTTTGAACTCGTTGTAGACTTCGAACTGATCGTGTTCGCTCTTATCTTCGAGTCCCAGCACGTCTAATCGACAAAGAGCTTCGTAATCAGCATGAGAAGTTTGAGTTGCCATCATCCTTGCTGCATCAAATTCGGTACCAGGGCTCATAACGAACCAACCCAGTTTTGTTAGCTCAGCTATTGGCTCCCCTTCTTTTCCAACTCGAGGTCTCTCTTGGGTTTTCACTCTTGCATATTCCCCACTGCCCAGGACGACATGGATTGGTAGGGATTTCTTGGTCTCGGTCTCATTTAGATTTACGCCTCTCAGATGAGGGTATTTCTGCAGAAGATTTTTGCAATTGGGATTCTCTACGAACAACAACTCGCCCTTGTTTACCTTTGTCAAATTCGTCTCGATTTCGTAGTCGGAATCAAGTGCTTGCACCTTGACTTTGTAGATCTCCAGTTGCGCAACTTTTGACGTCATCAACATGTCAATTCGACTGACTTTCTTTTCTACAGGCTGGAGTTTTAGAGCTTCTACCAGTTTTCCCGAAGCGTAGGAGCTACCTGCACCAGAATCGATCAGTGCTCTACAACGTATACCATTCACCATCACGACTACGACTGGAAAAATTGCTTCGTTTCCGGTTTTACTGGTCATTACCATCGGGTCGCCTTTCGGATTGGTATCACAGATAGATGTGTGATGTCGTTTCTCACAGATTTGGCACGAACGTTTGCTCGGACAGTTCGCCGCTTTATGGTTACCGGCTGCACAATTGAAGCATAGTTTTTTCCTCGCTAGAATCTCTTTGCGACATTTGACGTCAGTGATTTTGTTGCATGAAACCGTCTTGTGGTCCCCCCGTCGCAGTATGCACACGTACGTTCTGGGCTCTTCGAGAAAAACAACCGCCTTGACGATCTGTCTTGCTTCAACGATTTGTTTCCCTCTCCTTCGTTTGCTTCGACGATCGGATTTCGCCGCGTCCACAACCGGAGAGCCTCAGATAGCTTTGCAAAGTCCCATTCCTCCCAATCGGGATCGGTGCGCACCAAGTCCCCCCTGATTGCTTGAAGTTTGTCCAAGGTCATAGGGACATATCCATTCACCGTCTCTAGTTTGCTCAAAGTTTGAAGAGCTTGAACCGCATGCATCAACTGGTCATTAAATTGATGTATCTTCTTAAGATTAAGCTGATTAATAGTAGGTAAATCTATTATCAGTTTGATGTATGCTTTAATTACTTCGGAATTCTTTCCATACCGATCTTCAAGTATAGACTTGGCGCGATTATAGCCCTCAGGGGTGAAAGGTAAGCCTTCAATCGCAGTTTTAACCTTAGGCGACAAAAACCCGCACAAATACGCAAACTTATTCACTGGTGCCACGGAACGCTTGTCCACCGTCTCTGTAAATTGTCCCCAAAATCTCGGCCAATCAAGGGGCGACCCATCAAAGCGCGTTATTTCAATTTTGGGAAGTTTTGCATCGACAAAATTTCCCTGCTCAACATTCTTATCATTCTTTTGGGCTGACGTAGATTGCGCCTCTAGCTTGAGTTTATGCAATTCCATTTCAAACTGCATCTTACCTTTCTTCTCTGTAGTGTCTTTCTCTGCTTCTTTCTCTTGAAGCCATCGTTTGATTCGCGTAACTTCGATATCCGCCGCGTCGATTTTCTCGTCAACAGATGCGCCGTATTGCGTAATTTCGTCCACTTCGGTTTTCTCCGCTATTTGTAACTCTTCAACTTTTCGCTTGCGCTGATCAACTTCGCTAGTAATCACTTTAAGGGCGTTCAGTTGACGCTCGATTGATTCCTCGTTGCATTTCTCCAAAATACTCGCCGTTTTTTTCACAGATAGTTCTAATTGTGTAAGTTTAACATTTAACCTCGCCTTTGCCGATTCTAATTCCATAGTCTCGTGTAAAAATTACCACAATAAATACAGATACGCTGAATCCCGTCGGAGGTGCCAGGTTTGGTGAATGTTCCGCCTCCGTTAGATAATCCACCAAAGATCACAATGAAAGTTTATTTTAATGTTACCTACACAAATTACAGATGCTCACTCCCTCACAGTCTCACTCTCTCACACTATTAACTCTCTGTCTATTGACATGCGTCATAACTAAATTAACTATGATTGATTATGCAGTATGACAGGGCCTGTCTCCAACAAAAAAGGATTATTAATGAATCATTGTTTAAATGATAAAAGTCTTAAGACCAAGAAGGGACTACGTAAAATAGATAACTCTGATCTTTCACTACCAGCAACGGTGGCCTAGTGGGTTAGGATAGTGGTTAGTCCATAGATCGGGGTTCAAGCCCTTGCAGTGTCAAATGCATATTTAATTTCAAAGTCCCATAGAAAGGATTAAACGAAATACTTGAACGAATGTCTTTTACCGCCACCGCGCTGGTGGCTGAGCGCGTTATGATAGTAGTTAGACGATAGTCAGTGGTTCAAGCTCACCCAGTGTCAAAAAAATTGGTTGCGAATTCTTATTTAATTTCAAAGTCTTGATAAGGTGAAAAAAACTCTAAGTCTAAAAAATTCTAAGTCATTCACCACCAGCAGCGGTGGCCGAATTGGTTAGGACAGTGGTTAGTAAATAGCCGTTGGCTCAAGCCCTTGCATTGTCAAATTCTTATTTAATTTCAGAGTCCACAAAGAAAGGATTAAATCAAATAAAAAGCTTTCGTCTTTCGTCATAAGCAGTGATGCCCGAGTGCGTTAGGACAGTAGTTAGTACATAGGCTGTGGTTCATGCCCTTGCAGTGTCAAATTCTTATTTAATTTCAAAGTTTCTGAAGAAAGGAATAAATGAAATAAAAAAATTTCGTCTTTCACCAGCAGCAGCGGTGGCCGAGTGGGTTAGGACAGTAGTTAGTCCATAAGCGGTGGTGGTTCAAGCCCTTGCAGTGTCAAAAATTAAGTTGCGAATTCTTAATTAATCTAAAGTCTCCAAAGAAAGGATTGAATGAAATGAAAAACTTCCGTCTTTCACCACAAACAGCGGTGGCCAAGAAGTTTATGGTTAGTCCATAGTCGGAGGGTGGTTCAAGCCCTTGCAGTGTCAAAAATTAAGTTGCAAATTCTTATTTAATTTCAAAGACTTGTAAGGATAAGGTGAACAAATTCTAAGTCTAAAAAGTTCTAAGTCTCACCACCAGCACTGATAGCCGGTGGTGAAAGACTTAGAAAATTTAAAAAGTCTTAAGTCGAAGAAAGGATTAAGTAAAATATAAAACTGTCGTCTTTCACCACCAGCAGCGGTAGCCGAGTTGATTAGGACAGTGGTTAGTCCATAAACGGTGGTGGGTTTCAAGCCCTTGCAGTGTCAAAACATCAGTTTCAAAGACTTGGAAAATTTAAAAAGTCTTAAGTCGAATAAAGGATTAAGTAAAATAAAAAAGGGTCGTCTTTCACCACCAGCAGCAGTGGCCGAGTTGGTTAGGACAGTGGTTAGTCCATAAGCGGTGGTGGGTTCAAGCCCTTGCAGTGTCAATACATGAGTTTCAAAAATTGAAAAATTGGAAAATTAAAAAGTTAAAATTGGACGTTTCAAAAAAAAATTGATAGTTTCGAAAAAAAAGAAAGAAAGATTTAAAAAAAATTGAAAGTTTCGAAAAAAAAGAAAGAAAAAAGATGATGCAAGGGCTTGAACAAGGGGGGTACTTGGGAGAGAGGAAAGGAAGAGGGAGAGAGGAGAGGGAGAGAGGAAGAGGGGGAGAGAGGAAGAGGGGAAGAGAGGAAGAGGGGGAGAGAGGAAGAGAGGAAGAGGGGAAGAGAGGAAGAGGGGGAGAGAGGAAGAGGGGAGAGAGGAGAGGAGGAGAAGGAGAGGTAGAGGAGAGGAGAGAGAGGAGGGGGGAGAGGAGAGGAGGGGGAGAGGAGAGGAGGGGGGAGAGGAGAGGAGGGGGAGAGGAGAGGAGGGGGGAGAGGAGAGGAGGGGGAGAGAGAGGAGGGGGGAGAGGAGAGGAGGGGGGAGAGAGGAGGGGGGAGAGGAGAGGAGGGGGGAGAGGAGGGGGGGGAGAGAGGAGAGGAGGAGGAGAAGAGAGAGGAGAGGAGAGGAGGAGGAGGAGGAGAAGAGAGAGGAGAGGAGAGGAGGAGGAGAAGAGAGAGGAGAGGAGGAGGAGAAGAGAGAGGAGAGGAGGGGTAGAGGAGAAAAAAAATGAGCATACATCCGGTGGATCTATGCTCTCCTCTCCTCTCTCCCTCTCCTCTCTCTTCCTCTCTACCTTTCCTCCTCTCTACCTCTCCTCTCTCTCCCTCTCCTCTCTCTCCCTCTCCTCTCTCTCCCTCTCCTCTCTCTCCCTCTCCTCTCTCTCCCTCTCCTCTCTCTCCCTCTCCTCTCTCTCTCCCTCTCCTCTCTCCCTCTCCTTCTCCTCTCTCCTTCCCCTCTCTCCTTCTCCTCTCTCCTTCTCCTCTCTCCTTCTCCTCTCTCCTTCTCCTCTCTCCTTCTCCTCTCCCTCTCCCTCACACGCATCCTCCTTGTTCACGCCCTTGCATTGTGTTTTGGAATTTTTTTTCTTTCCTTTTTTTGAAATTTTTTAGAATTTTTCTTTCTTTTTTTTGAAACTTCCAATTTTTTTTGAAATTCCGAATTTTTTTGATTGCCCAATTTTTATTTTGACTTAGAATTTTTTTTTTTCGAAACTTCTATTTTTTTTGAAACTTTGAATTTTTTTTGGACTTAAGATTTTTTTCTTGTTTTGAAACTTCCATTTCAAATTTTCCATTTTTATTTGAAACGTCCAATTTTAACTTTCCAAATTTCCAATTTTTCAATTTTTGAAACTCATGCTTGGACACTGCAAGGGCTTGAACCCACCACCACCGCTTATGGACTAACCAACTGTGACCACTGTCCTAACCAACTCGGCCACTGCTGCTGGTGGTGAAAGACGACCGTTTTTTAAATTTTTCAAAGTCTTTGAAACTCATGTTTTGACACTGCAAGGGCTTGAACCCCAACCGCTTATGGACTAACCACTGTCCTAACCAACTCGGCCACCGCTGCTGGTGTTGAAAGGCGACCGTTTTTTATTTTACTTAATCCTTTCTTCGACTTAAGACTTTTTAAATTTCTTTCACCACCGGCTATCAGTGCTGGTAGTGAGACTTAGAATTTTTAGACTTAGAATTTTTTCACTTTATCCTTACAAGTCTTTGAAATTAAATAAGAATTTGCAACTTAATTTTTGACACTGCAAGGGCTTGGAACCACCACCGTTTATGGACTAACCACTGTCCTAAACTTCTTGGCTACCGCTGTCTGTGGTGAAAGACAGAAGTTTTTTATTTCATTTACTCCTTTCTTTGGACACTTTAAATTAATTAAGAATTCGCGACTCATGTTTTAACACTGCAAGGGCTTGAACCACCACCGCTTATGGACTAACCTCTGTCCTAACCACTGTCCTAACCCACTCGGCCACCGCTGCTTGTGGTGAAAGACGAAAGATTTTTATTTCATTTAATCCTTTCCTTGCAGACTTTAAATTAAATAAGAATTTGCAACTTAATTTTTGACACTGCAAGGGCTTGAAGCACCAACGTCTACGGACTAACCACTGTCCTAACCCACTCGGCCACTACTGCTGGTGGTGAAAGACCAGAGTTTTTTAATCCATTTAATCCTTTTTTTGGAGACTTTGAAATTAAATAAGAATTCGCAAATCATGTTTTGACACTGCAAGCGCTTGAACCACCACAGCTTATGGACTAACTAACCACTGTCCTAACCAACTCGGCCACCGCTGCTGGTGGTGAAAGACGAGAGTTTTTTAGTTCATTTAACCACTAGACCACCGCATCATTAGTCGAAAGCTATTGTTCTTTATTTGATATTAGTCTTAGGAAGCCATTTTTAGCATTTTAAGACAGTTTTTGAACAGTTCAAAAAGTCGTCAAAATTGGCCAAAATGGTAAGGGGTAAACCTTAGCATTTTGGCCAATTTTGATAACTTTTTGATTGTTCTGAAAACTAATAAAATGTGGTCTAAAATGAAAGATATTAGTCTTAGGAAGCCATTTTTAGCATTTTAAGACAGTTTTTGAACAGTTCAAAAAGTCGTCAAAATTGACCAAAATGGTAAGGGGTAAACCTTAGCATTTTGGCCAATTTTGACCACTTCTTCATTGTTCCCAAAACCAACCAAATGTGCTCTAAAATGAAAGATATTAGTCTTAGGAAGCCATTTTCAGCATTTTGAAGGACTTCGCTGCGAAAGATGGAACGTTCCTAAGATTCGAACCTAAGGCTCACCACATCGTATACAGTATAGGCCGTCACTTTAACTGTTGGGCCCATCAGAATTCTTCTTGAATTCTGAGGCAGGTTTAGATCGAAAATAGGGAATCATTTGCCTAATGGAGCTAAATCAAATATGGGCAAAATACAATGGAATATTTTTTCAACAATAGTACATCTACTTTCGTATTTTCTGACGAAAGAATAAAGTTATATAATAAATAAATATTTGTTTGCAATAAACAAACTATATATAAATATTTACATGTTACGGAAAGAGATTCAACCAGGCAGGGATATTAATTCCTCCTCCCTACTTGAGATGAATTTGCGTACTAAACGTATTTGTAGGTAAGCTTTGATGTAAACATATCACATCAGTATCACCTAAATGTAACCATAAGTCATGTCATCTTGAAAACGTGCCACCGTTTCTGGATCGAACTGATAGGCCTGTGAAATGCAACGGGAAAACACGTTAGACCTTTTTCAGAATGCCGTCAAACGCATTTTAGCGAGGTAACAACCTCAGGCATACACAAAAGATCCGCGCTATATGTATGTTGGTTGGTCGATATTCCAAAGGTTTTGAAATTTGTTTGAAATTTCTCAGTCAATGAAATCGCAGCTTCATCATTGATTCGTCATTTGAAGCAGAAACCAGTATCGTTTCACAGAAAATATCAGCACAAGAAAAACTTTGCAAAATTTTCGATTTTCATCAAAAAACCTTACGGCGTGTGGGTGTGGCAGGTAAAAAAACGAAATTTCATAGTGATGAAGCTTTTTTTGTATTTTCAATGTTTTTTGTTGATAGTTTTGAGTGTTTGATATTATAAATTTAGTTGCGAAACCTTATGTTATTAAATTTACTGCACGCATTTACTCAAGCTTGCGTCACTGACCGCAATATGAAACTGGACACACACTACTGGGTTACCTAGGCTGTATCTATGTATTTATAAAAGCGTGTTATTTGTTTTGCGATCCTTCACAACTCGCGAACAAATAAACCGTACGCATGCACTCGCCAATAGTGAAGTAATGTTACATAAAGTAACTATGTATAACAGCGTCCGCACTGTGCAGCGCCCAAGCCACCTAATATTATTTATAATATAACATTTAAAGAACGCGTGTGCTGATTGGTCGAGAAGCGTGTTTCTATTTAACAATTAGACAACGAGTCCAAGTTGTCTATGAGCGAATAGTCAACGAAGACGAGTTGTCTATTGTTTTAGTACACACCCTGTACCTAGATATATTAATTTCGAGAAAATAATCGACACACCGCAATTACAGCGAAAAATAATTTAATTAATTCAATTTTATACGGTCGCGCGAGTGAATTTTTCCCAAACGTTCACCATCACGAATAGACAATGGATGAGTAGCCAATCAGAATGTAGGATTTGTAATAGACAATAGTCGGGTGTATACTAAAACTGTATAGAAACACGGAAAATGTTTTCTATTTCTTAAATAATATATTAAAAAACCTATATTTACCCGTTTAAACCAGTGAATCGCTTCTTCCTCGCTTTTTTCTGCGCCATATCCTTTATACAGACATCGAGCGTAAACAAAACAACCGAGGGCAATTCCTTTAGCGACATAAAGTATCAAGCAATCTGTAGCTTTTGCAATCTTTTCAACATCTTCAAGTCTCCCTACACTGGATAAAAAACATTCCATGGAAATTAGGCTGTTTTTCACACATCACAAAGACTGCTGCCTACGAGGGTTTTATCCAATTGAAATGCGAGTAGGTTTTGCGATGAAAACGAGCAGAATGGAATATAGTAGTACCCTATATATAAATGCAATCCTGATGCAATTCAAGTGAAGACTCAGTGTGGAAAGTGGTTGGTCAAGAAGGAGGTATACTGAAGATAGCCAAATTAAATTATTAATATATTGATGCCAATTTATGTACCTACCTCTCTGCAATTTCATAAGCTTGATTGTACAACTTTTGGCGATAATAGTGCATGGCAAGATTCCCTTGGGCGTAAATATTTCCTTTCTCAGATGCTGCTTTAAAACATTCAAACGCAGCCTGTACATCTCGTTGAGTCCCAATACCATACTCAAACATAACACCCAAAGCCCCTGCAATAAAGGCAAGTTAACAAAATAAGCGAATCAACCAAACTGTGAATGGTAAAATCATGTTTAGCACATGCATATTGATATTCAGTTAAATATAGGCCAATGATTTTAGCTACTGAGAAAACTAGAAAAACTGTTTTATAGCTTCAGGAAAACATGTCATATTTTTTCACCATTATCACTCCAGTTGCTGCTATAGTTCACAAGCTCAAATTGGTTCAGTGTCAATGCAGTGAACCCTGAAATCCAGGCATCAGAATGTGATATAATCATGTTTTTAGGGACTACAGAATACATGTATGTATAGACTATTATATAATAACATTGAGAATATAAGCAATTTCATTGGTCGAGAGCCATGATCTATTAAGAGAACAGACACACAGTATGACGTCACAGAAAATTTTAACAAATTTGATCAGTCATTGCTTGCTTATTTTGGCAGCCAATCACATTTTAGCATATAAGCCCCGGCCACTTTGTTTCGTTCTTATCACAAATGACGTCATACTGTGTAAATATAACTGAACAGACAACGGTTCAATGTTATGTATTTGTTAAACTCATGTTTTAGCATGCTCTTACTGGACTATTATATATAGATCAGTAACAAATTTGGTCATAGAGAAAAATAAATAGCAGCAAGTTCATTCAAAATTGAACTTCTCCATAACTGATATTTCTATTTACAAAACTTTTTCCATACTAAATTGGATGGCCTAAAATAGGTATATACTGTCTTAAATAATCTATTCAATAAATGATTATTACCTTGAGATTCAATGTTGCCATTTCCAGCAGCCTCCTGGTGCCAATGATATGACTAAAATATGAAAAGTATTGAAACAAATAAATTAATGCACAGAAAAGCTTGATTTAGGGATGCATATATACCAAGCTGATATGAGTACAAAAATCAACCAATCAGAAGCCAGATATACTTGACAACAGGGATTATTCTAAGGTGCAATGATAACCAAAATTTTACCAATTATGTGTGGTAAATAAGATTTGTACATTGATAAAATCACACAGATGCTCCTATTCTTTCTCCCTCCAAGCTCAGTGCTAACAATGTATTAATTTAAGCACAATCTACCTGAGTCGGACAATAGATGATAACATATGGTGAGTCCTTGAGCTATCATTCAGCTGGTTTTGTGTGTATCACACTAGTATATTAATCATCACTCACACAGACACTTTTGGCAATTTAAAACTTTATCTCAACAGATGAAGTCCAGAAGAAGTAATGCATGTACTGTATACAAGTCAGTGTCTCAATCATTTCAAATTTCTCCATAGAGTAAAACTTTTTACTTTTGTGTTGCTTGGCAAAATATTTGGTAATAAGTTCTTTGAATGTTTACACAGAGATAATAGTAATTTTTCACATTTGTTTGTGTGAACTGAAAACACCACATGAATTTAGTTTTACAGATCGAAAGCCCTACAAAATTAGATTCACACAGTGTTTTCACATTAACAAGCGTACAAAATCAAAATATTTTGTTGAAAGCATACCTTGCTAATATCATAGCTTTCCTCTCCTAGCCTTGAATAAAACATTCCCAAAATACTTTGTGCCCTGATTGACCCCTTAGAAGATCCATCCTTGGCAGCTAACAACCAATAATACTCAGCATTATCATCACTCTGTTTCACCCCTTTACCTTCATAATAAGCCCGGCCAATATTGTATTGGGCATATGGAATCAGGGGTTCTGCTTGCTTTTTTTTACTGCTGCAGACTGATTCCATCATTTGGAATCCTTTCTCCTAAAATTTTAGTGAGTAGGTTGTTAGAATGCAAAAATAATACAGGATTAATCCTTTACAAGTTGATCATTAGGCTGCAATGATCTGGGATCATACTGTTTAGGATAGGATTATCAGTAAAGGGCTGCGTAAACGAGAAGGCCAAGAAAATACTGTAAGATATATAGTCACATGCAACCCCTAGTGTTTCGAGTTTAACCAAAGTAAAACAAGACTTATTTTTTGCATTCTACAAAGAAAGAATACAAGTTATAAATTTGTCTAGAAAACATCCTAGAAAAGATGATAAATTGGTTGACAGTTTGCAAGGTTAAAGCCTTAAAGGGTTTTACTAACCTTATTCAAGATTGCAAAATCGAATTTGGGAAATAAAAGGTCATAAAACGCTATAAATATTAAAACCCTTACCCCATCTTCACGAACTCCTAAACCATCGTAATACATCACTCCTAACTGATATAAAGCCTGAACATCGCGCTCTTTGAGTTTATCAAATTCTACAAACGCCTTTTCGTATATTTCACGTTCAAAATAGAACTGTCCCAGCTGAAACCTTGAAATATGATCAGTTCTCGCCAACAGAAGACATTCAAGTCGTTCATCGCTTAAAACGCCGTCTTGATCGCCCTGTTCAGACGCAATGGAACTCGAGGAAGATTTGGGTAAGCTTTCCGCTCGCAGCGTTTTCGGATTTAACTTTGTATTAACTTCATTTCCACCCGAAAGTGTCTCCATTCTCAAAAAGGACTAAATTTCATGCCGCCATATTGAAACTGTCCATATGTTGCCATGACAACAGAATCAATGGTGAATGGTACAATTTAAAATTATTAAAATTTTTCATAATTTAATTTCTAAATGTTGATTGACTAGTTGTGCATACTGAAATATTAACTTTTTTTTGGCTATTAGCGAAAAGTGCGGTTCGGCAATTACAACTCCCAAAGGGTGCAATAGACCTTACGCATAAAACGTAACAAGCCGTGACACTTGCAGGGAATTCTGGTCTTAATAGTCACGACGGGAAATTTTGAAGTTTGAATTTTTCGCCGTGTCCCTGCAGTCGTCTATTAATGCTCAAATCGCACTCCTCTGTCCATGGTTGAATGGGTTGAACAACTGGCAGAGTGAATTTCCATCCAGGACCAGGACAGGCTCAGAGCAGGTCGCCAAACCTGCAATTCCATACACCCCTCAGCATTTGAATTGTTGATCGACGAACGGCAAATTGGTTAAAAATATGCAATTTTTTGGTGTATAGTATAATCCAGGGTAATCCTCAAGTGTCCTCAACTGTACATCTCCAACTGTGTGCACAAAATGAATGATGGTTAAAGCTTAGTATTCTTAAAATCAGCAGTTTTAATATTTTCAAGCATTTTTGCAACGGTTGAAAAATCACTATCCGGCTGATAGCGCTATCCAGCTTTCGTACTACCGGCCCCAGTGATTTTGTCTATTATTAAAGGAAAACTTTACAAAAAAATAGCCGCTAAAATGCTTGCAAACCTGTAAACTGACTCTTTCCCAGATTTTAAAGTCCGTTTCATCGTTCATCGTATTTATAGTATACATCTGTAGTTTTTAAAGGGTCTTAAATTCGAGTGGAATATTCACACTTCAAATTCAAACCAGGAACAGTTGACGGAAAAATGAGTAAACTATATGTCCTCCGGCAGGAATCGAACCTACACTTTTGCAATGCCGGTGCAATGCTCTTGCCATTGAGAGCATTATATCCTGAGAGCAAGAGCATTGCACCGGCATTGCAAAAGCGTAGGTTCGATTTCTGCCGGAGGACCTATAGTTGACTCATTTTTCCATCAACTGTTCCTGGCTTGAACTTGAAGTGTGTATATTCCACTCGAATTCAAGACCCTTTAAAAACCGCTATAATTTACCTGCATCAAGTGAAGTGCCAAAAAACGTAATTGAATTACTCTCTGTTGTACTATAGTTTATTATTGATTTGTATGTTGGTATATAAGAGACAAAACAAGCTATAAAAAGCTATGCCTATGGTGTATAGGCATGATGATAAAAAAAATAATTTCGAACCAACGAAATAACCGAAAATGAAGGCAAGTTGTGGGTATGATGAAAAAGTTAGAACTCTGCTGTATCTTCGATTTGTCATGGCAGAATAATTGTACAGGAAAACGCCCAGGAAAACTCTCCGTCATTCCAGAAATTCTCGGTAATTTTAGCTGGTAAATGGAGCTCATACAGGAAGCTACTTGAGCTACTCCATGCAGGCGGCAAGGCTGGTGCAAAATAAATCTCGGCGGCACGAAAACTTTAATCTTCGTGGCCTCTTCTAAATGAACTCAACACCTTCTAATTGTGATAAATATATAGCGGTTTTTTCGACAAAAGCCGAACGGTAAAGCCGATCGAACAATAAGAATAATCGCATTTAGCGCCATTTTGATTTAGTATAGCCCCATTCACACTGGACATACTTTGGACGGTAAGGAAAAGTTAGTGCGAATGAAAAGATGATCAAATTTAACCCGTTAACCCAATCACAATTTTGATAGGGAAAAAAATTAGATTGTGCATACACATGTGATTGGTGAATTTAGTGATTATATTACTTAGTACTATTTAGTACAGAGTATTCAAAAAGTAAGGGTAAGAAACGTACATGGAGTGTAATAAACATAAAAGTTTCGTAATGGCCAAATTTACGTTCTCGCAAAAGTAGAATTGCATGGCAAGTTGCAAGAAAAATTGCACTGTGTAACAGGGCCTTTAGGGTATAGAATGGTATAGAAATCTAGGCACTGACCTATCTGCATGTTGAATCAAAAGTTATCTGCAGGTATATTAGAAGTTGAACATGCATCGAGGGCTCCTGAACACAATATGAAGCGGTTTCATTCCTCTCATTTTTTACACTGTATTTCCGTTCGCGTTCGTTTGTACCTTTTAATATACACACGTGCATTTTCTATTAAAATAGCATGCATGTACAGTTAAACCACCCCCATTATTTTCAATGTATGGCACTCTTTAATAAATTATTGAGTCGATATGTTTTACCGCCTTGCCTTTCAAGCATTCAACGCGGTGTCCACAAAAACTGCCACGCTGCGGATGCTATAATTATACAGCCTTGACAACTGCACGGCCCAGTTTTACGTTTTCATAAACAATAGGGACGAGAGTCAATTAGAGATTGCCGTCGTTGAGGATGATTTATTGAGGTCCGGAATCAGAATCTTCGATATTTTGAAGGGTCATTCCCACAAAACGCTTAACGTCTTTCATCGAGAGGCATATACATAGAGCAATTCTGAAAGCATCAATTTGGGGGTTTTACATTAAAAACCTTTTTTGGATTCTTTTAATTTTGTCTAATAAACGTATCTTCAAAGATCTAGCTTGAAAGATTACCGCGTTTTCAGACTTTTTTCATGTCCAATTTTTTTTTGCGAATAATGTAAAATTTCAACTCAACATACGCAATACCCCCTACATATGGACACGCCCTGTCTACACAACAATACTAAATTCCTCAATATTGATAAAGTCCCAAAGTGGTTGTTGAAACGACCGCTATTCCCTGGAAGCGCAGCTGTATACTGATGCGCGGCTCGTTTTTACAGTAAATCACACCCCCGCGTTTCTAAATAGTCAAATTGGGACAAAGCTTGTGCAAGATTCGTGCCAAAAGAAGATCAGATATCGTCTAACGAGGTATTCAGAAAACATTCGCAGTTGCTCAGACATTGAGCTATTGAAGAAGTCTGACAGCAATATATCATAATTATGGCAATGTGCGTCGCGCTCGATCAATATGTTTCTATTTTGAATTCGTTTCCAAATTTTCGCCATTTTTCGGGAAATGTCCCATTTCAGGAAAGGTGGCGAAAGGCTATGTATAAGAAGTTACAGGTTGACGCACTTAACGCTGTCGCGTTTTCGTAACGCTTCTATATTAGAGCATGTCTGAGGGGCTTGCTTATATGAATACCGCCTTGACACCCGGATTAATCGTTCCGCGCTACTTTTGATGTATTGAAAGAAGTAAAGGTCGATGACTTCGCGAGATTGTGTAAATTTACTAGTTGTTTACTAGCGATTTTCTAAATTGCATATTCTAAAAATATATTGCAATTCTAAAAATATATTCTGCCCGGCGGAATTGGCACTGCGATAAGAACACCTGCATTACTGTTCAATTCACTTAAAGAGCATTACGGCTCAATTCACTTAAAGAAATCAAAAGAGGCCATTTCGAAACACCGGTTAAATCCTGCTGCTGAATCTTCAACTGAATCGCCCTGACTGGTGATAAAATATTTTAGCGAAATAACGAGTAGTCGGCAATCTTTCATTATTGTGGATACGTCAGATGACGTCAGCAATGGCGTAGGCACGAGTCTTAATCTCGAAGGATAGTGATTGATATGCCGCTGAAAGTTGTTTTCCGTTGTTTGAATGTGACAAAAACACTTCAAAACAACTTTTGATTATTACTCGGTAATTTACAAGTGATTTTACCAGGCTAACCCTACTTCTCCTTATCCAAGATGGCTGTCAACTAATGCTCAGCAAACCGAATCTTTACTAGCCTTTAAATTAGACAATGCAACAAATAGTTGCCATTTTTTTAATGCAGGTCAAAGGGACTAACACCTTTCGTTCGGAATGTTTTGGTTTAATTTCAAGACCAAAGCGGTCAATCAACTTCTCGAGCAGATAATAAGATACAAAATATAAAATATTGCAAAGTATTTAATACAACATACTCTCGAATACTTTAGAAACTTTCAATGTTCTTATAGTTTATTTTGATTGTTCAATAGCAGAAGATTTCCCACGACTTCTCATCTTCATTAAGGCCCAAATACCGAAGCAGCCACCATAGACAGCAAACACAACCTAAAACAAATAAAGTCCCTGTCACATTTTTCATGTGATCTATCTGAAGTATACTGGGTGGTCTTTTACCTCAATCGGCCTGACAGCTAGGAAACGTTATCAAGTGAATTCTAATCACTGCAGATAAACGTGACTTTTCTAAAGACAGAATCCACCGTCTTTAGAGAAAATACATATTTTCCTAGAAGTCGGATTGCATTTTAAACTGAAGATATTGAAAATTGTTATTCGGTGCGAAATTTCAAAGCTTCGGCAAAAGGTGGGTATTTCAGAAATACAAAAACTGCAAATTCAAACAATTCCGCCAAAATCCGGCAATTTATATAGATTATTTTTTGTTTATCTCTCTGCTTCCTTACAAAGTCTAAAAATTTCAATATAGAATCATTTCATATACAGCACAGCGTTCATTGTTAAGTATTTCGGCTTAAAACTAAAAAAACCCTAAAAAGGCATCGCCGTCAATCCCAAGGGTTATCACTCCAGTTGTTATTAGAGGTCACTGTTATGGCCTCAGCGAAGCTGCCATTAACATCAGGTGACAGGATCAATCTGTTCGCAAGTACTTTAAATCATAACGACTGTAGTACATGTAGTAGTTGTATTAGCATTTCAAAATACTCATCCTTTGCTGTAGACTTGAAATTTTCTCGTCGAAAAGCAATTTTCAACAGCTAGCAGTCTGACAATAAGCTAGACGTTTGGGGTCAAGTATATTAGTTAAAAAACTCGGAAAAACTATTTTAGCTTCAGGCAAATATTGGCCTGTTTATCACCAGTAATCGTTCCGGTTTTGTTCGTTCGTTCATTAGAGTTCGTCGGTGCAAGTCGACTGCAGTTGGTGTAGAACTTCGCAGCAAGAAATATTACATATATATAACATTCTACAGTTCCTGAAACCGAGGCCGCTGTTTGTTCAAAGATAAACTGCATATTTCATAAAGGAATTCATCAAGTAAGATTTAAATTTTTTCCGACATAATTATGTATCTTTTTATATTCTTTCACTGTATTGGTAAGATCGCAGAGGTAAATAACTGGGGTATTCTTTGGGTTGGGTTTGTGCTAAAATGTTTTTAAACCAGTAGCTTGCAGACATGAACTAAAATATAGGAATACAGTATTTATTTCAGAATTCAAACATGAAATTAACACATAGCCATTAGGGTATTCTATTCATTTGGATCAAGTAGTACTGAAAATTCTTTATATTTTTTCAAACCGGTAAAAGATATGAGATGAAATATAGATTTTACGATAGTGTATATAATGCAACCATTTTAACAATTCTATGACTAATGGGAATTTCCATCATGTGTGAAAAATATTTTTATCGAGAAAAATCTTATATTTGGATATCGATGAAAAGCTATAGCTGTAAAATATCGTTTTATACAAAAAAATATTCGTAACGCTCAGACCTCGAATAGCAGCGACAGAAATCTGACCTTGGTCGTCATGTCTGAGATTTTTCAAAATCCGTTTCGAAGTCTTGGAAAAAGTCGCCATTCTAATTAACCAACATTTCCCTTTGAAATCGCGTTTCCGTTTCGCTCGCATGAAAACGCTAAATAAGTACATTGGCCCGGCTCTTTAACTTCTGGTTTTTCTGAATTCTTTAATAGAATACGCGACAAATGTAAGGATTTTACCCCAAGGCAAATTTTGTCTAGTAATTAGGGCAGGAATCAAATTCTATAAATGGTGCAGAAGGTTCTTCCTTTTCCTTAACTTAAAGTCGGCAAACTTTTTATGACCGGAAACAGATAACAGTTTTCTCTGACTATTTGAAATTTTAACGTTTTTGAGATATTTATTTTTTTACTGCTTGTATGCGTCCGATAAAAAATACATGTATGTATGATGACGCAATCCATTAACGCCTTATCGTCAGTAGTGACACAAGGAAAGAGTCTTCTTATCTTCTTCAAAATTTTTGTGAAATTTGGGTCAGTTTTGACAAAATACACTACTCTGTTTTGCAGTTGAAACACGAGAATGTTATATTTGTTCTAATCCGTTATATTTGCTCTAATCTGTTATACTTTACAGTGGGGGTATAATGCTGTATTTCATGAAGTATCAGGCACTAGTACCAGAATACATAACACCATTTTGGCCTGATTACTGTACTTCCAAATGAAATTGAGTTAGAGTCTATGTACGTTTGAAACTGATATGTGAATTTTAAGCACACCAGGGCCCCCCAATTGTTATGAGCAGAAGCTATTTGCTAAAGCTTTTTGTAACTTCCCTTGTGACTTAATTTGTAACTTTGTATATACTGGCTTCACATACAACACAATATTAACCTGCTTCAAAATGATTTGAGTCCAGAAATATTCCAAGCATGCATAATTTACAATTCACAGACCTCCTGTTGTTACGATCAATGCATAGATGCACAATATTTATGAAGCATAGATTCACCCACTATGGACAAGCCTAATTAATGACTCGCCAATTAAAATCTCATTGCAATTGTCAGCGGTTGCATTATTTTTGTAAGCACCAGAGCGTACATCACTATTTGCTTGGTGGGGAGAGGAAGACCGATCTAGCTAGATCAAATTTAGCTGTGAATAAGTTGTGAGAATGAGTCATGCCGGTTAGTGCCAAACTAATCCATCCACTCGAAAACTAAAAAAGTGGTTTCCCACAGTAAAAAAAACTTTTTAGTACTAGAGTGGACAGATGAGACTTGTCATTGGGCAAGGCTTGGTCCTATTAAAGACGTGTTGTTACAAATTCTGATTTACTTTTTATCAAATTTCACAATCAAGTAGTTTTATTAATTTAGTAGTATTGGTAATGTGATATATGGTCACAAATACAACACACATTCTCTGATACAAGTTGGCATCAAGTTATAAGTGCCAAACCTTGACTTAGGACCAGGACGGTCACTGCTTGAATTGAGGTAGATTCATGGACCTTGAAGCATTTCCATTGTAACGGCTCTAGTATTCAGAGTACCTATTATTAGTTAATCTGTTTGCGGTCAACTATTGCAGATACAAGTGAAATATTTCAATTAAAATGAATTGTTGCTTTACCTAGTAGTAGAACACAACACAGGAGTACTGTGATTAACTTTTTGTTACACCTGGCTGCTATCATGAACACATCACAAGCAGATGGCAGAAAAAATTGTTGTTTGCAAATGTGTATCGGAAATGCACACTCTGAACTTAACCTCTACTAGCTAACCTGAGTAACCTCTACTATGTCTTTATAACATGATTCCGGAAATAAGTCTTGGAAAAAGAACCAAGCCGACAGCTTATTCAATAAGTTATCACTCCAGTTGATAAGATTATTTTAGGTCATTAACTTGTACAATGAATAGACAAAAGTTTTTAAGTGGAGTAAGAATGAGTCTTACAAATTTCAAGTGTAAATCATAAACAACTCAAATTCAAGCCAGGAACATTGTTGTGTATGACTTCCACTTGAATTTACACCACATCAAGCAAAGTGCCGCAAAATCCTAATCATGATTTACCCTTGCCAATATGAATATCGAGGATTGCGCATTACTAATATTTTAATTTTTGCAATGTACAACGTTGAAGGCTTATCAACATGTGAGAATTTTGAAATAATTGTGCTTCTCCATTGGACATCACTTACATTTCGCCGGCCTTTCACCGTAACGTTGTTAAAATAGACTTGCCATCCTTTAAGATTTGCACTTTCAGCACCAACCATAGTAACTTGGGTAGATTTAATTGCTCGCCAAAGTGACAAAATACTCGGTCGAACTGTCAAAGGAAACCGAAGGAAACAACTAAATTGATTGTCATATCATCGTAAATAAAACGTCGAAGAAACGTTGACAAATATATATCGAACTTACCGCTGTATTTTAAAAAAATCTTGCAATATTTTCTGAATTACAAGATGGCGACCGAACCTTAGAGTCCAGTCTCTTTCGTGTCGCCGCTTTAAACTGACCTATGCATAACTGGAGTTAAAAACTTGACAGAGGCATTTTTGAAATTCATAGACTAAACTAATTAGGTCCAGTTATCTCAACAGAGGAGCGTAATTACCATGTATGGTGCAGCGAAAATTTGCATTTAGGCGGTTTTTGTCAAACAATTTCCTGGACTCCAAATTGCTAGGTCGAAGCCCAACTTCTAGCCATGCCTCTTAGCTCGGGGGCGACCCAATATTTTGGACCGCTCTTGTATCACCCCACAGTTTATATTAAGCTTGAAAACGTTATCGACGGACGTGTATTTGGTTATTTAATTAAAAAGACTACTTAATAAATCCACGGTACTTCATAATCACATAGTCAAACGGGGGATAATAAATCTGTCAACGTCGATAGTTATCATGGTTCAAATGTATCTCAAAAGAAATAGATCTTGTTATTAAAAATAAGATTATTTCGAGAAAATCAGATTTTGATGCACCCGTAGTTGATCATGACAAGGTGCCATAGTCGGGGACGTGCCGCCATTATGCGTAAACCTTGGCATGAAGATGATTAATCAGGTCCATTTTTCACAGAGCCACGAGTTTGATATTTGTCAAGTTGTTTGAGAGGGCTCTTAAATGTCAGCGTACTAAGTCCTACACCATATCTTGTTCCAAATGACAAAGTAAAGTGCCCAGATTAGCAAGGGATTTCGAATTTATAGCTTCGATCAGTTGAAGGACGGAATCGGCGAACACAACGGTAGGTGCGAACAAAAGCCATTCTCGCGAGCGGGAATTGAGCGTGCGCGTAGCAACCAAACTCACATGACCAATATTCCCTCTCGTTTTATATCCGTTTTAGAACCGACACATAATGAATACTATAAACAGTATTTCCTTGTCTTTCACAATGGCCATTCTTGTAGCGCTGATGAGCTACATCGAAGGCACGTCAATTCAAGAATGCGACAGAGTGCCCAAAGATCTCGACAATTTGTACCGAAAGATGGCAATAAAAAGAGAGTACTCTACCACGAGATATTCAAAGAACACAAAAAGAAGGTATTCCGCTGGCAGAGCAGGATCAACATCGGGTAAGTCAGTATAATAAATAGCGACTATAAAAGTGCTTGTCCCTATGCAATAGAACCTAGCTTTGCATGTTCCAACGAACACGCGATATTTATGGCCTAGTAGAGCACGACCAAATGCTATGTTCGGTCGAAAAGAAGGCAATGGCCTATGATTGTCAATGCTATTTCAAACGTAGTGTTTTTAATCTAATATATCAACAATCAAAATCTCCCTAAATCCGATGTAATTGGGATAAAACGATTGCGGGTCAGGATCAGATGTAACCCAAATGGCCAGTTTTAATGTCGCAACGTGAAGGAAGTCACTCAGCAAAAATCCCCTAATTTACAAAAAAAATTCGTCTCAGTGTGAGGTAGAAGGATGTTACATGTCACAATTCGTTAACAGAAAGGTTTTTCAGCGGTAAGATGCAGTATTTTTGTGCAAAAGGTAGAGGGATCAGTTATTTTGATCTGTTACATGCAGCCTTCACATACGTGATGGTAATATTTGATTTGAGTCATTGTTCCAAAGTCGTTGTTCCAACGCTTTCGATCAAAAACTTTGAAACTGTCGGTTTCAACGATGTTGGTTAGTAAGATCAATTCGCACGGGCCATTTAAGGATATGACAAAGCTGGTTCATTCATATCATCGGCGAGTTCTACATTCGAACACGCTCAAAGAATGGAAAACACTTCAAAAGGTCATAACAGTTTACAAATAAGTTAACAGGTTAGTTGCCTAAATTCCCAGCGCATGCGGAACACAAAATTCCGTACATTTGTTCGTAATAAGGCTGTTTTCGACTTACGCGTTTTTCATACGAACCTACACGCACGTACGCACGTAAAAATCTAAATCCTCAAGGCTGTTTTCCACTTACGCGTTTTTCACACGCACGTATACGCACGTGAGAGTCTAAATCCTTATACATGTTACCTTTGAAGAAACTAAGTGAATAAATCGAAGGAACTTAGTTTTGTGTATATTTTAGTATGCAATAGTTTACCTAGATGTTAAATAATAATAATTTAAAAGCATTTAAAATTTTCCGTACGTGTACGTGCGTATAAAAAACGCGTGGAAAGCAGCCTTTATGGGGATCTAGCCTCCACGATGTTAAAATGCCACGTGAAATGCGAAACGTGAAATGCACGCCAAATGTGCTACGCACAATTTGTCTTCGATGTAATGGACGTCTTTGTAAAGTACAGAGTTTTGTAAAATATAGTCTGTACAGAGTACAAAATTCGTCAATTTCGTGCCGTTTCGCGCCAAACTCTGTGCCGTTTGCTCACGCCATCTGACGAAATTCGTAGTCGTTATGTTTCGGACTACAAAATTAATCTACCACCTCGACGACTATAAGTTTGCTACAAGTGCAGAAGAATCTTCGAATTATTTATACCTCGTCAAAAGGTATAAATAATTCGAAGATTCCAAGTTTTTCAGTCGACAGCTTTGCCTTTCAAATGAGGCATTTTCACAGCTTCTTGCGACCTGCAAACAACTCAAACGTGAGAAAATTTCTACCGTAAACTGCGTTATCAACAAAACATCCCCAAGGCCTAAGCGCAATTTTGTACGATTAGTGAAACGTACGGTAGAGAATTGAAGCAACATTGCTAAATTCGTGGAGCGTTTTTAAAGAATGCATAAATTGTGAAAGCGATGTCTCCCAATTATACGGCGGCGGGTGAACGTCGTCATGCAAAGCACCGTAGCAGCGGCAGCATTTCATATAAAGTATCGAAATACCGTAAATCTCAAAATCTCCCTCAATTTTCACTGAACAAAACGCGTGGAACGGCAAAACGTGCCTGAGACGAGATATATAATTACGGCGAAGAGTGGAAGTGAAGCATTTCAACGCTCAGTTTTCCTGTGAATACATTTCAACGCACAGTCCACGTCGTTTCGTATCTTTCGTCATTTTGATGAGAATCGAAGGAGAAAATCTCGTAATTTTAAAGAGAACAAAGGAATCTTCGCCCTGCTGAAATGCACACTTAAATTTTTTAGCGACGGTCAACAGTTTGGCCATCAAACTGCTAGTGATTAAACGCGATAATTTTAGTCACATTTTTTGGTGCTTTATAGTATTACCATTGCCCGTTCATTTTTTAGATCAGGTTTCGGTCGTCCGACAGGCCGGCGGATTCCATTGAATAGGATTATTAAACCTTCGCTATCTTTATAACGTATGCGACAATAATTATTGGTTTTCATACTTATAGATTTTAAGCTATATGATATCAAATGCTCCCTAGCTATTCGAAATTTGGTACTGTTTTGTATAAAAATCTTTCGTGTATTTTGAGGGGCATTGCCTCCCTCTTTACATTTATTTCTGGGGGTTTAAATAACCGCTCGTTCTGCTGTCCCTAATTTGTAGTTGTACGGACGTTAAACGTATAATTGTAAAAACTCTGATTCCAGGAAATAGCGAGGATTTCTCGAATACTCAATAGTATTTGGGAAGGGGTATACCATGCAGTGCTGCTCTAAAATGCAATATCACACCCCCGCGAGTTTACAAGAGTAAATCCCATCGAGATTTTTTTCATAAAATTGAGAGGTAATCTTAAGTAGAAAAAAACATTTGGCTTCCTTGATAAGGCGTACACATCTCTACGGTGGAGAGATCATGATTAGACAAATAATTAAGATAACTGTTATTGAAAGAACTTTCGTTTTGTTCTGAGTTCAATTTTGCAACACGCGTTATCAAAAACATTAGAGTGGCAGTTTCGAGGCTGGTTCAAACGAACCAATTTCCGACGAGTGAGTGGATTGGGAGTAAATTATAATTTAACTAGCCAAAATGTAGTCAGGAGTTCTAGCAACAATCTCCGGTTGTTCGAAAGGCGTTTAGCTTTAACGGTGGATAAGCGAAATTTAAAAATACTCTCATAGATCGTGTGATTGACTGAACCTGAATCTTATGCATTTGATTTGTACTTCCATTGACAATTAAACTATTTACATCAAAATATTTCAGCTCAGTTGTTCAATAAATAGATAATTGTGTTTTCTATTTTTAACTTATCCACTGTTTAAGCTAAACGCCTTTCGAACAACCGGCCCCAGACGTATAGAATGTAGCCGCGGGTATTGATAAAAGCAACGCTGCATTTGATTCAGTCGCTTCTCTGTCATTACACGACAAGTCAATCGACTACAAAACATCCATCACAGGTGAATTGTACGGATATCCCATTGAGGGGTCAACGAGATTAAGTCGTGCATGTGGACAGAGTTGTACAATAATTTCAGCAAAGAATGAAGGCTGAAGTAAGTTTCAAAATTGGGTCATTCCTCCTCGTTACAAGGATGAGTGGATTGAGTGTGTCGAAATATCTTTGCAGTCTGTGGAGACTAGTGTGAGTGACAACGCACAAGAGACGTGATAATTTTCAGATAAACACAAGCTACTTCACATCTATCACTTGTCATGTTAGCCACAAGCATCGGCATCGAGCAGATAGGAACTAGAATTTCAACCACAAAGAGTTATTCCCATGCACCAAGAGTTATACAAAGTAAACGATAAAGATAACCTATTAGCCTTTGAAAAATTGCAACACGCAGTTTAATCGTTAATTAAGCAACTGTGTCAGAGTAGACTAATGAAACTCTATTCCATCGTCAGGATAAAACCCCCACGAATAGTGGAAAAAAGCCGTTCGTTTCCCCGCTATTATCGATGCATATAATTTAATGAAAAAAAGTTAATCCTATAGATCAAGAAACTAAAAATTTAACAATTATACAAGACCACCCTAGGAATTTTCGGCCATCGTGAGACAGGCACCTAATTCCGAGCCTAATTCGATGTAAATTTCTTTTCTCATATTCGAAATTCAAAGCCCGTTTTAAGCCCGTATAGGGTCTACAGAAAAAAAAGTAGGAAGCCGGTTTCTACTTTTTCGCGGCAATTTTTTTCGCAAGCCAATCACATCACAGGTTTTCAGATATCGCTTCGCGTCGCGCGAATAAATTCGCCCAGTGGAAAACGGGCTTAACTATATATGGACGAATTTGTGTTCACATGAAGTGTTAAAATCTCTGCAAATATGAGGCAAGAAGAGTTAAAATGATAAAATGACTTTTTTAGTACGTACAACAATGGCACACATAAGTTATCTAAACTTGATTCCAAAAAAAAATGTGTGAAGTTTAAGATAATTTCTCTAGCGACAAGCGGAAATTTAATCTTATATAGCTGAATCATTGAACGATTGTATCGCTACGATACATTCATGCACGCGCGACTACCATTTCGCAATACACCGGTATACGCCTACGATTACGAGAGCATTTTCAAAGTCAAGTCTGGAAATTTTATCTTCAGACTCCTGAAGAGTGCCTCTTGGATGAAGATCCTTTTGTAGGTTCTAGAATAAAACGTTTGCGGTTCCGAGATCATCAAAATTTTATCGTCTTTGAGGTCATGTACTTTTTTAGATCGATGTACATGTACCCTATAAGGCGTAAACCTTTGCGACAGCTGCAACGCGATCTCCCGCACTAAAATATTACCATATTGCTCGATTTACATGGGAGAGTAATTTGTTATAGCATTCCTTCAAAACGGCCGTTTTTCGTGGTGTTCACGGCGTTATTTCAGCAACAGCTTTTACTACTTTGTATACACGCACGCAATTACGTGTTTCGTACACATCGTGACTGTCAGGAGAACAAGTAAGCATATCGTGACCTATAGTGCATTGAAGACTATATCGTCAACTCTTATCTTATTAACCCAATCCTATTCAATCAAGCACGTTATTACGGACGCTTCGAGAAAGGTAGTCACGAAAACGACGCGGATCTTCAAGCGCTTTGTTTGGGTAACTTGTTAAACGGCTCGTGACGGTCAGTGCACGAGCTTATGCATCGAAAAGCATATTTCGTGGCGATTTTGATGATCCGTCGCGGTGAATCTGGACAATATTTCTCAATGTCAAAATACAGCCGAACGCCTATCATTAACCCATTTGATGTCACGTGTATTAAGGTGAAGTATCACAACAAAAAACCCGAGATTATAGCATTCCGCACAAGTAATTATACGGATGTTGTACGGTCAAGTACCCGAATAGAATGTCTCCCGAATTTGTTTGGGTAAAAAAAAGCAATCACTAGAGAACAGGGCGGGCAATTTGCGAGTCGGTTGGTTTTAAATGCCAGCTAGGAAGTGTCCTGTTTAATTACGACATTTCATACCCTTTGGCGAACGTTAAGTAGGTTCTCACTGAAGTGAGATCAAATATGTAGCTACTTGCCAACTAATATACATATCATATATTCTAATCTTTCTTTCAAAAACCACGAACTACCCGGTTATTACTGGAAAACATCAATTTTCGTCTCGTCGCAGAGATCTTAGTGCGTTCTCAGTAGCTTAGTGTGATTTTGGCCGCGATTTTCAGTCGGATCTTCGTCTCTTGACAGATGGAAACGAGTGAATAGTCATAAATGCTCCGATGTATATAAGTGCCCTCATTTGAACATCTGTAGGCCCGTTTTTGCTGCGATTTTCTTCTTTCGATAGATGCGAACGAGTGCATTAGTTACTGATGTTCAAATAAGAGTTCTTACACATCAGAGCATTCGTAACAAATACTCGTTCACATCTATCAAAAGAACAAAAGCGCACATAAAATGGCAGCAAAAATTGCAAGTGTAAACGAGCCTTGTAACCTATCTACTCGTTCACATCTAATAAATAACCGCGTCAGCAAAAATTTCAAATATAAACGGGCGTTGAGATAACTACTCCGGAAAACGATAACGCTGTAGGTAGGGGGCCGTACGCAAATAATTAAGGCGGCGCCCCTTAATAAGGGAGGTGTGCATTGCACATTATGCCCGACTGATTATTTTTGAAGCTATTGTTTTGGTTATGTGAACATGAATATATACCCTGGGTTGTAGACGGGAGAGGGGGGGAACACCGCCCTGTCATATGGGGTATCCTAAAAAAGGTTCTCCATTGTCTGCTATGCCAAGGTATCGTTTTTCAATTTTGCGCACCTTCGGATTAAGCATAATGACATTAGCAAGGCATTCAAATTTCACAAGAGCTTGATTTAAAAGGAGCTAATTCTTTGGGACACCCTGTAGAGACAATAAATAAAAGCATTAGAGGCACGCTGAACAAAACAAAACAAGAGTATCGCATTCTTTATAGTTATAAAGAATCAATGAACACAACATCGAGAGGCTGTGCTCGGGACGTCTTTTTCATAACCCTGGGGCTGAATAACATTTTCCCCCAAAAGGAAGTTTGTTTTACTTTGGGCGCAAAATAAACATGACTTAATGCTATTAAATAGAAACTTAAAACCATTTATTGATTTTTAAGTTTCATTCCCAAATGACGGACAATAAAAAAACGTTTGTCTCTTTTGACCACAGTTATGGAAGAAACATGAATAGTGCATGAATAATTCTTAAGCCTCGGCTACATTGGCAAATATTTGACGGCGATCGTCTTCTCCTGGTGTATGCTATTAAGTAAATTTAACAGAGTTGGTCACTTTACACTTCGCAAAGCTTATACAACTGTGTACAACATTCACACAATAACATACGTTAGAAAGAGAAAATCACCGATAAAAATCGCCCGTGTAGGTCCAAACATGTCTCGTTACTCTAATCAAAACACTGCAATTTTTCACACTCGCTCGTCAACTGACACTCCAAAAATTACGTCAATGCAGCAAACATCCAATTTTAGTATCATGTTTATTACCATTTTGTATTTCGTAAATGGATATATATGTCAAAAGCTATCTAGTTAAGCTTAGGGATTAGCTCACTCCTTCAATAAAACCTTTTGTAATCCTCCTTTGTAATTTCCGGCTGAATTATATTAATAGCCTCAAAATCTCTGCACTTTACGGAATTACAACAAGCCAGCCATCGATACAAGGGCGCCCTGGATTAGCGCACGATTCTTCTCCATCATTTTTCGGTGATGGGAATAGCGAGAAACTAACGTACATTCTTATATACGATTGTAATATAACCTTTATAGTACGCGCGTGCTGATTGGTCGAGAAGCGTGTTTCTATAACTGTATAGAAACGAACCGAAATTGACAAGCGAAGTAATGTAATCAGAATTTGTAATTGAATCGAATTATAATATTTGTACAGAATCTTTTTATTGAGTTATAAAAGAAATAGAAAACATTTTTTCCCGTGTTTAAGAAATAGAAAACGTTTTCCGTGTTTCTATATACAGTTATAGAAACACTTGTGGGAGTTTGGGAGAACGAGACCGTATTTTCCCCACTGATTATTTCTCGTTCTCCCAAACTCCCACAAGTGTTTCTATAACAGTATATAGAAACACGGAGAATATTTTTTTAAATGTCAAACTTAAATGACATTAAATTTCTTAAATGTCAAACTTGGACCGTGTACAAGAAAACCTCCCAGTTATAAAAACTACAAAACCTTGCATGTCAGAGGTTTAAACCGAGTATTATCTCTTTAGGTGTATCTTGGGGGAATTCGGACCTTCGCGTGTACTTCAACCTGTCAAGCATAAACTCGCGTGCACGTATATTCCAAGCCCATCTAATTCTTCATCGTAGGGCGCCCTCTTTCCAGGAAATGCTACTGTACCGACAGTCGTACAGACTGCTTCTTAAGGACATAAACACGAGCAAAGTGATATACAACAGAACCGTAGCGAAAGACGACAGTCTCTGTCTGGTAAAAAACCTCCTACGAACAGTGAAACGCTGGCGAATGGACCCGAAATCAAACGAGGGAATTTTACTTTCTGTCAAGGATGCCGGACACTATCCGACCTCCCTGAAAACGTTTTATCCTGAGGGAAATATCAAAGTTCCCGCGTTGGCGCTGCGTTTTAACCCAGGGAAGATATTTTTAAGGAAAAAAAGACTGATCGCGAGTCAATTCATACAAATACTTAGCAAAAAGACTCGAGGAAGTTCATGAAAAAGCTATTGTAAAATACCTGGACGATATGCGTTCGAGTGGACCTGAAGGACACTAGCCATTTTTGCTGCGGTTTTCATCTTTCGATGGATGTGAACAAGTAGATGAGTTAGGTTTGTTCAGATGAGAGCACGCAGATGTGTAAATATTACAACTAATTTACTCATTCACATCAATCAAAAGAGGAAAATACAGTAAGGGGCTGTTTACATGAGCCCGGTTACCCGAGATTCAACGAAGCGTGAGACGATTTTGAGGTATTGAAATGAGCAGATGACATGATCCTGGCAGTCGTATAATCACCACAACAATAGCATGTGCTTGTTTGGTGTCATAAAGACTTATTTCAATACCTCAAAGTCCCTTCACGCTTCGTTGAATCTCGGGTAACCGGGCTCATGTAAACAGCCCCTAAGCCTAGTCAGTGTGACCAGATCTGGTCATTTTTATTACCACAGACCGCCCTAACTGATTTTAATAATTTATGCTAGGAGGGGCCAGTTCAACTAGATTTGAACGACCAGCTATGTTTAAAAAATTGGCATATATGGTCACACTGAGCCTAGTGCATTTGTAAACAGCGTCAGGCTGCCTTTTAAACAAAAACCTCATCGGGTCAATAAGACGTTTTTGTAGCAGAGTGTTGTTAACTAACTATTGTAAATTTCAAGGGTACTAGCACAAGTATATATTTGACACTAACGAACTCAAGTGCAACTGGAGTGTTGACGCAGAGAGGGCATTGAATCTGACAATTTTCCCCCCATGAAGCAACTGAACTATATTCAGTTTAGGAACGTCTAGAAATATCTAATAATCGCTGATAAGTTGCAAGTTTTTGTCCAAAAGAAAAGTGCAATATCTATCAATAGTTTGCAGAGACAATTTTCACGTTGAGAGCAATTCCTAACAGCCCCAGTTGATCTTATAGGTTAAAGAATTTCACTCTGAAAAATGTGGAATGTTTGTCTAAAGTTATCATTCCAGTTGCTGTAAGAGTTCACTTTGTGGAACCGACCGCAGGCAAGCAGGAAATGCTTGCGGGCGCAGGGAGAACTTGCGACCACTCGGCATTTAAACCACGTCGTGAAATGCTGGTATTAGAGTGTTTAAGATACCCTGGTTCCGGTCTACGGGTACGAGTAGCCTTGTTTATGATCAAAATCCTGCTTGCCTCAAGAGTTTAAGGGCCTGTTTACATGGAGCGAGTTATCCCAGCTAGGCGAAGTAAAAAGCGCATCACATCAAAAGCTTAACCTGATTAGTCTTTCATTATATGCAGTTTTCACCTCGTCTAGTCGGGAAAACTCGCTCTATGTAAACAGGCCCAAAGTATAACAAGCATTATCGAGGTAAATCCCGAAATAATCAAAGAAATCGATGGATAAAAGAATGGCTTCTCGTACCCGCAGACCGAGGTATATTAAGCTCTCTATTAATTTATATTCACAGGAATTCGTTTTCCATTTTAATGTAAATTTTATATAATAGGGAGCTTTAGCAGTGACTACGAGTACGACTACGAGTACGAGATTCGTCATTCTCACGCGTTGTTTGCTTACGCTATCAGTCAAAACTCGTAGTCGTCGGGCATTTGAGTACGAGTTTTTTGATAAACTTCGTACTCGAAAGCCCAACGACTACGAGTTTTGGCTGATGGCGTAAGCAAACAACGCGTGAGAATGACGAATCTCGTACTCGTAGTCGTACTCGTAGTCACTGCTAAAGCTCGCTAATAGCAGGGCTCTGGACGACGGTTTGACAAGAACAATGTTATATGTAAATGAGTTGTACAGGAACCTGAGAAATCTTTAATCTATAAATCGAGCCCAGGAAATGTGTGTACGAGGTGTATAATATTCAGTACACGTTACCGTCGACATGCAATATATGCCGGTTTGTTTGAACGCATTGAGATATTTACGACGATGTATAGTTTAAAAATCTGTACAAAATATATATTATATTCTATATAAACACGATGTAAACAGGAAATACTATACGAGATTCACTTAACTTCATAGAGGTTAGTCCTGGTCGTCAGTTCAGACATCCCTAAGAGATTATCCGCTTGCCTTTGCTGACTTTCTGCCAGGTCATCCAGGCGATCTCGTACGGATGAGATTTCTTGCCGTTGTTGCTCCTATGGAATAGAGAAAGCGTTACATAATATATAAGCTATGAAAAATCTGTGATAAAGCAGCCACACGCAGCCACATTTCTAATACGGGCTCTTTTTTGATACGGACACCCCCCCCCCCCCTATGAAATGAAAACGAGAACCTCTCTGGAGTAAGGTAAAGTCTTTAATACGGATACTCCGTTAACAAAAATTGACTTCTCGAACACAGGCAACTCTTTATTATGACCAATATATCCCTATAATACGAACACTCTCAAACACAGACTCGTCTCTCTAACACATGCAGGCATCTCTCTCTCTCTCGTCACTAATACGGACACCTTTCTCTAAAACGGAGATCTAGCTCTGCTCTTTCTAATACAGACTCTCTTTAATACGGAGTAACTCTAAGACAGACATTTCTGTCTAAAATATCTTTCTCTAATACGGACACCATCCTAAAATACAGACATCTCTCTAATACAGACATCTTTCTCTAATACAGAGATCTCTCTCCAATACAAACGCCCTCTTTAAAATAGATACACAAGGCTCTTTCTCTAATATGGCCACGTCCCCAAAATACACCTCTAATACAGAAACCTCTCTCTAATAAGGACTTTTTATATTAGATTTTATATTACGTCTATTTATAATTGTTCAACATTGAGGGTTCTAGTATGAACATTATTATACCTGATCGAACACGTGAGAAGAAAACTTAAGCGGTGTGCTCGTGATCGCTTGAGGAAATGCTGAATCTGTGTTGTTTAGCATATTCCTGAAATCCACCTGGCGTTTCCTCAGCTGAAGTGAATGAAAACAAAAACCAATTAAAAATCAGGATGAATTCTTGAGATCGTGTTTTGTTCATAAAACACCCCAAAGAAACTCTGTATACATAAGTGCGCAAAAACAGCCCAAGTCTCCTCTATATACATGCTGCGTATGTATATTGCCTGGTTTCCATTTAGCCTAGTCGTTAGTGTTGTGGACTAAATTTTCAAGCGAAATGCGAAATATTTCGCCTGCTTCTTTTGAATTGTGAGCAATGAAGCAGAATTAATATATTTAAGTGGTCGAAATTCAAAAGAAACAGGCGAAATATTTCGCATTTCGGTGAGAAAAACCGCCCGTGGAATTAGGCCCTAACTCATTGTAATAAGCGTGTTTATAATTACTCGATCGAACTGTTTCCGTAATCGTTGATTTTCAACTTCCATATTCTTTCTACAAGAGAAAAAGAAGCGTTAAGCCTCGCAGGAAAACGGGCTGAAATTGCGCATTGTCCTATAAATGGTTGTACCAACAGGAAAATAATAAAAAGGGCCGAGGGAGGTAAACGTAAACTGTAAAGGAGCTACAGTATAATCAATATACCAACCTTACTGCTTCGGTTTCTGCTCTCGCCATTTCTTCCTTCGCCTTCAACAATTTCATAGACTCTTTCATGTCAGCCATTTCCTGTTTGTATTTTTGTCTTTTCTATCAAAACACCCATAAATCATTTAGAAATACCACTCTAATGGACGACTTGCCCTCTAGACTAATTTTTGATCGAAGTAATAAGAAGAAAATAAATCACCACAGCTGGAAAGAGCGTACTTAAATTAGTGCAAATGCAAAGTTTAGCTGTGAAATTTTGTAAAATGCGGAAAATATAGCCATGCGAAGTTCGCATATTTTGTATACTTTTGTATCACGCACGGAATGTGTAACGACCCTGTGACTAAATTAGTTACAAACTTCCGGTCGTAATACAAAAGTATACAAAATTCGACAACTTCTCATGGCTTGGCATGCCTTACCAGACATCACGGTCTTAAAATATATTCACAATACCTTGGCCAGAGCATCAATTTTCTTCTTTGCGTCTTTCACTTCATTCAACACTTTTTGCTGTTTCTCGTTGTATTTCGTCTCTAGTGCATCTTTTTCAACGTTCAACGAATTCCTTTAAAACGAACACGTAGACATTGGGTACAGGCTGAGTAGTGTGTGACAGAATATCAACCATAAATATGGAACCTCTTTAGATATAGAGCACACTGGCAATAGGTGGGACAATGGGCAGCAAATATTGAACACGCTGAACGCTATGCAACATTTAAAAAACAGGAGCTATTGAGAAACACCACTTGTTAATAGAAAAATTTAAAGAAAATTGCTGTTTCTTGGCCAAATGACAGTTGATTGGAAAATTTTGCCGATGACAAATTTCCACCGAAAATAGCTATTTTTCGATGGGCTCCATTTGATGTCCAATCCAATATTTCGGATCAATTTCAGCTGGAGAAAGTTATGGGCATGTTTACATTACCACCAGATGTCATTCCAGTTATATAGTTCCATATATATAGTTCATTTCATATCAGTGTGTGCGTGACTTACCTTGTTTGCTCTCTCTCTTTCTCGTGGTCTTCCTGGGCATGTTGCAAATCTGATCGGGCGATGCCTAAATATAATAGCCGAATCATGGCATTTACGGTATAATAAGCAATAGAAAGGAAATGATGTAAGTACATTAAAAGGTTGGTTTTAAAACACCCATTATTTAGAGGCTCTGTTTCCTGAATAAACAATTTCTGAATAACTTTTAACAAGGCCCAAAAGTTCACCAGAATTATTTTACACTTTAGCTATGTATGACAACTGACTGTAAACTTTATATTCACATAAGCTTGTATTATAATGAAATTAACATCATATAATATCGTACCAATTTCATCGTTTAGCAGATCAACTGTATTCTTTAGTCTTTCATTTGCCGCCATTAACTGTTGCTCGCTGTTGAGGACACTAGAGTAGTCAAGAAATGAAACCCCTTTTTAGACTAAAAGGCCTGTTACACGGTCTAATTTTTCTTGCTACTGCAATGCAATTCTTCTTTTAAGAGATGTAAATTTGGCAACTACCGAACTTTTGTCTTTATTACGCTCTATAGCGCTTCTTACACATATATTTTAAAGACTCTTAACTAATTTACATCTCTTAAAAGTAGAATTGCATCGCAAGTTGCAAGAAAAATTGCACCGTGTAACATGGCCTGAAATGTACGATAATAAATTCTAATGGATAAGCGGGACTAAGAGGTACATTAACAAAGAGGTACTCAGCATCACTCTTTACCCACCATTACCCCGGCCACACTGTTTCCATCGCGAAACAAATACCTTTGAAGCTGTGTTTGTAGTTTCTGTTGCTTCTCCTTCAAGTCTTGTGTTTTAGCCCTCTCCTGGGAAAATCAACATTCCTCCGTTTATTTAAACCAAGACGTTCACATGTTAAAGACTGTCATTCATGCAATACCTTCTCTAGTTCTTCTGAACGGTCTGTCGTTTGTTTAAGCTGATTTCGTATGCTGGACAGTTCTTGTTCCAAAATTTCCTGTTCAATTAAAACGGGATTTTAATTCAACACCAATCACTTAATAGTTTTCTCATTTTTTTTATTAAAATATTATTAATGAAACAAGATGGTATAACGTGTTCAATATCTCTCTACAAATGTATAATGGCACTTTGTATTAAAGAACTACATGCACTTGCATAAGCCTGGGGTCGGTTGTATCAAGCCCGTTTAGCTTAAACGGTGGATAAGTCAAAATTAAATAACACTCTTAGATCTCTCTTGAATGAGTCAACTTGAATATTATGCACTGAATATGTAGTTGTAAACAGTATCTTTGTATTAAGGTTAAAAACATTTAGTTTGCATCTTGAATAAAACGATAGACTTGCCTTCTATTTTGAACTTAACCACCGTTTAAGCTAAACAGGCTTAATACAACATGCCCTTGGTTGTCAGGTCAAAAACTGCATGGATAACAGGTTATAACGTGGGTATATATGAACATTTGGTATATGATTTGGTAATGGACGTTGCTGTTATAGTTTTAGAGCAGGTCATTCATGTAGGGCAGTCAGTCCAGTTATGATCCTTATTCCTTGCCTTAATCTCGTGTACAGATCTCAATTCCTCTTCCAGTTTCTTGACTTCCTCGTGGCGGGAAATTTGTGCCTCACCTTTTGTTCTGTCGAATAAGAGTGAAAAAGATGTGCTAATGGACGTTTGCATAATAGACCAACTTTTTATTCAGGCAACAAAAAGGAAATTTCCGAAAAGTGCATACAAAATTTAATAAAATTATGAAGTTTGGCTGCAAAATATTGTAAAGTACGGAAAATATAGCCATGCGAAGTTGGCAATTTTGTATACTTTTTTACTACGGCCGGAAGTGTGTAACTAAACTAGTTAAACGCTTCCGGCCGTTGTAAAAAAGTATACAAAATTGGCTACTTTGCATGGCTACATTTTCCGTAATACTTGACATTTTGCGGCCAGACTTGGCAATTATACTAATTTCGGTATGCTCTTTCTAGCTGTGGTGATTGATTTCCTTCTTGTTGCCTAGATCTTATAAAGTTGGTCTATTATGCAAAAGGCTCATTTTCATTATGAAATCTAAACACATTGGCTCAATTTGATTGACTATTCCGGCAATGTTATCATTTAGTATGTCAGCTTCCTTGAAAGCTGTTAAATTAAACAATAATTAAAAATTTATTGATTAAAAAAATTGATGAATAATCTTGAGACGTACCTTTCTAAATCTGCTATTGTAGCTTCTAACTGCAAATTATTCTGTTCCATTTTGTTTAATTTCTCCCACTCTTTTTCTTTGGCTGCTTGCTCCCGCTTACAGACGTCCTGTTCCTGGCGCAGGAGAAACAACAGATTAACTAAGCGTGGAAATCCAGGTGAATTTGTGTATGTAGTTTAGATTGCTTGACAATTCAGTCACGCCATGCAAAAATGTTGGCGTTCAGGTGCTGTGTTCAAGTCTTCAGAATACCTTGGTTGAACGAAACTATTTGCTATAAAGCATCATTCTCGCGGCTTGCAAATAAACGAGTAATATTCCGTTGTAAACAGACCTCAGAAAGGCCTACCTTCTCACTGATAACAACATTAAGATGTTCAACTGTATTATCCAAGACGGCAATTTTATTTCGCAATGAATCGCATTCCAGTTTCAAGCTGTCTCTATCGCGTTCCAAATCCCCTCTGTTCTTTGTTAATTCCATTTTCACGTTTGTTATTTCAACTTTGTGCTTGTGATTTGTGTCCAGGAGTCCGCTTTGCGTGCAGAGAGACAAATAAAGTAAGTTGCAATGAGAGATGTAAAAACACTCGGGCCGGTTGTTCGAAAGGCGTTTAGCTTAAACGGTGGATAAGCCAAAGTTTAAAAATACTCTCATTCAGATCTTGTGAATGACTGAACCTGTATCTTACGCATTTAATATGTACTTCCATTGACAATTAAACAATTTACATTTAAGCTGAACGCCTTTCGAACAACCGGTCCCTGGTATATAGAGGGTGTACCGATGCCTTTAAAAATATAAGCTCGACCATAAATGTATATATAGACTTATTCTAGTAAGTAATTGTTTTGTATACATACCCCTTCAATCTATTACATTCATTCTCCAGTTCATAGACCTGGTTGTTCGTCTGGTCCTAAAATTATATCACAAAATATGATGGTTATGTAGAGTAAGATTTAAGATTTACCTATGCAATACATTAACGTCAAGATGATGTCCATTCACATACCAGTTGCTTGTCACCCTTTTCTTTCTCGGTTCGAAGACGCCGACACTGGGCATTTACCGACTCAATTTCACTCTATAGAAGAAACATATATAGTAACCGTAATTATTGTTATATAGAAAGCTGGTCCAAGTGGGAATTTTGATTGGTCCCTGAGATGTTACTAACCCTCAGTCCGGACAGTTTTGGCGGGAAAATTAAATTTTTAATTTTTGTTGTTTTCCCCAAAGCTTATTATAGAACGTTTTTTACCTCCAATTCTTTGCAGTGAGCCGTGGATTCGGCCAGCTGTCGTGCTTGAAGTTTAGACACCTAAAATAATATCATATGACTGTTAAATCTGACATGCGTGAGTCCACCATACAGCTTACGACATCATCCAAAACTCTTAGATTTTCAACTTTGAATTTCGAAGCGGAGTCAAATGTACTTCACTTAGGGGTTGCTTACATGAGCCCGGTTACCCGAGATTCAACGAATCATGAGATGATTTTGAAGTATTGAAATGAGCAGATAACATGATCCTGGCAATCGTATAAACACCACAACAATAGCATGTGCTTGTTTGGTGTCATAAAGACTTATTTCAATACCTCAAAGTCCTCTCACGCTTCGTTGAATCTCGGGTAACCGGGCTCATGTAAACAGCTTCTTAAATTGTTAATTGAAATAGTGCATGCATGTACTTACATGATCGGACTGCAAGCCAGCAGCCTCTCTCTTCTCTCTTAGTTCCTCCAGTTCATTTAACAAACTTTTCACCTTCAGATTGAGCTGTACAAAAGAAATGGTCATGGTCATGGTCATTGTCATGTCATCTGCAGGTTCAATGAATTTACAGATTTCATAGCTTTGCAATGCATGGAATACTGAGCTACTTTATGAAGTTGACATTATCAACGCATATGACAAAAGACTTATGCACTTTTTCAAAATCAGCTTAGTTTTATCGCGCGATTGGGGGATTATTGGGAAATAGTAGATACTTTGTAAAGTTGCAAGCATGCTTCGTGCTCATATACAAACATTAAACAATATAACCATGCTTTGGTTATGATGTCAAATATTTTGATATGGATAACCACGCTGGTTAAATGGTCTATTTCGGGTCCTATGTAAAGTTGCAAGCATGCTTCGTGCTCATATACATCAATTACGCAATTCAGTTATTATAGCTGCAATGTAATTGTTTCTTAATAAACTATCTATCTATCTCATATACAAACATTAAACAATATAACCATGCTTTGGTTATGATGTCAAATATTTTGATATGGATAACCACGCTGGTTAAATGGTCTATTTCGGGTCCTATGTAAAGTTGCAAGCATGCTTCGTGCTCATATACAAACATTAAACAATATAACCATGCTTTGGTTATGATGTCAAATATTTTGATATCGATAACCACGCAGGTTAAATGGTCAAATGCTGGTCCTATGTAAAGTTTCAAGCATGTTTGGTGCTCATATACAAACATCTATATAAAGTTGCAACTTACAGGCATCGAATATGGCCGGAAAACGGTATACTCGACCATGGATTATCACGCTGTTTTAATGGTCAAATGCTGGTCCTATGTAAAGTTTCAAGCATGTTTGGTGCTCATATACAAATCTATATAAACTTGCAACTTGGAAGCATCGAATATGACCGGAAAACGGTATACTGGACCATGGTCGAATACGCCGGATAATAATAACCGTGGTACATAATCGACCATGGTTGAATATACCGGAAAATGGTATGAATGGCATATTCGACCATGGTCGAATATAGTATTGCTTTAATAGTTTGTGCTTGTACCCCACCCCAAGGCCTTTTATAATATACCAAAGGCGAGAAAGTGCAGTTCATCACAGACACTGACGTGGATATATACTGGAGCGACGACAGATTATCGTTATTCATTGGGCCTGAGCATTGGGCCTGAGCCTGTTTATTGTGTTACAAACCTGCGTATTCTCTCTCTGCAGTGTACGCACGCGCTGTGAATCGTTCATGTCTTCATGTTTCTTCATCAAGGAATCGCGTTCTCGTTGTAGGTTCGCGATCTATGAAAAACACCCGAGGTTTTTATTCCCGTATTCTACGTACCGACTACGTAGAAAATCGTCACTGGAAAGTCTGATGTTAAACGAAGTTTTATTGGCTCCGCAAAAACTGACGGACCAATCAAACTCCGTGTAACCTTCGTTCATATGTTGTTGTTGTTCTTGAATCTTGATTCTTAAACCGTGCGAAATATATATTCAGGTGAAATGTTCAGGAAGATTGGCAAAAAAGTCTTCAACCTTTCGGGTTTTTCTGCATGGCTGGATTGTAAGATAATATTATGTGAAGACTTTCCATAAAATTATGTCAATATACCATCGATTTAATGTATTGCAAGAGCTATGTACTGTACTTTAATAGTAGATATAACTCTTTTCTTAATAACTCAGCAGTCTCAGCTAGTTTGTATATATCAAACTTACTGGTAATGAATCTGGTTGGGTCTGCTATGTGTTAAACTCAAAAGACCGTGGAACTCACCTGTGTTTCATATTGACTTTTTACTTCGTCCTGAATTCTTTGATATTGCGAATGCTCGTGTTCGTATTCGGACTTCAGAAAGGAATAGTCGTAACGGAGTTTGTTGAAATTGCTGAAGGATTTAAATTTAACAATAAATTTTCCTGCTCGCAATAATTTCTCACAACAAACATCTATCTAATAATCACCTTTTACTTTTCTGAAGTTCATTTTCCAATGCCTCTAGCCTCTATTAAAAAACAAATATTCTTTAAAGTTGATTTTATCATAGGCAGCCCAGACTTTGACTTGCGCGTGTGATACTCGCGCGCATAGAGATTATAAATAACACTAGAGGAGGCATTGGTATCAGAAACATCCACTGAGCTATATAATAATTCCTGGAGGACCGGCTCGCCATCATCAAGTGAAGCCAAAAAGATGGCGGATTTTAGGCTTTGCTGACGCCACATGGTCCTAAATGGCCTGGGTAGTTACCGCTGACAAACTGCGATCCAAAGACAAAAATTGAGTCATCTCCCTCCTGGTTTTTGATAAAAAATACTTTTGGTTTTCGGTGAATAATTTTTTCCTAACTTTTTGTTTTTAAAATAATAAATTAAAATTGTTTCTTCGTTTCCGGGCTTTCCCAGTTTTACAAATTAAGCGAAGCTGTGGTTTCTTGATCTACTTGTGATGAATTCTTGTGATGTAGTAAATGTTTTATCGGAAGAGAATCAGGTAATCTTTTTGAAATATTTTCGTTTCTTCCGTCTGGACTTTAGTATATAACTAATATACGACTCAAAATTAAAGCTCAAAGCCAGTAAGTCTATCAAAACTTCTGTTATGAAAAGCAAAAATTTTTGCCAACAACATTTTTTGATTTCATTATAATTATTAATTCAAGTTTTATTGGTATGTTACAGTGAACTAGTTTTTTGTGTCAGCCTTTTTGGTAAATTTTCATAATGCAATTTTTTCAAACAGCCAAACTTTTAGTAGAATTGTAGAATTTATACAAGTTATAAGTTTGTGGGTATGTGGCAGACTGTATATTTTTAGCTGAACAAGACATACTAGTCTGACCTGGCAGGGGTTCAGGCAGGTTATTTAACAACCACTGGAGTCAGTGGAGTGGCAGTTCAAGCCTAATCTTTGGCAGGATTTATCATGGTTTACTTAATAGCTATAATTTCTGTAACTTGTACTCACTTTGTAACTATTAATAAAGGGTGGACTAAATTGAGTACTGTGAGACTTATCAGATTTCTTTTATTTTGCAGGAATATGATGCCAGTTGGAAAAAAGCAAGAGATGGCTTGCATCCTTTCATTCCTTTGTTCTGAAATATTGAATTAGAGCAAAATGCAATGTATCATACACATTAGCTGCTCATTGATTATGCCATATTGATTTAATTTTAACCTTTTTCTTACAGTTTAATTCAAATAAATCAATACAAACATTGACTCATTGTGTGGATTGTGTCTCAAATCAATAACAAGTAACCCTTCTTAAATAATTTCCTAAATCATTCCTCCCCCCAAAAGAGCTAGTTAATGGGGATAATTCAGCATAATTGAGAGTGAATAAGCCCCATTTCATTGTGAAAGTTCCTTTGAAACATGAAATCACTGTAACTGCAGTAAAAGAAAACCTACACCAGTTGGTAACATATCAGCTATAATTTCTGAAGTACAATTCTCAATATGTACTAATCATTGTCATAATGGACAATATCACAGGTATTACACTGTATCAAGGTGCATCCATGGTCAGGAATGCTAAATGAGCAATGCTAGAAATCAAATATGGCTTAGCTGAAATTGTATTTTTTGCACATAAAATGTTGATAAATGCATTAGAGTTTAGAAAACTTCAATTTATCTCCATAAAAGATCCAAGCAATTTCTGGCATACAAAAAGTTTAGAAATTCTTAGATGTTTCCTCTAGAAGTTCAAAAATCAATTGGATTTCATGCGGATTGTAAAATATTAAACATGAATAAATCAATTAAACTCGGAAAAATGAAAATTACCGGTGAGGTAGTTGACGTTTTTTCCATATTTTTTGAAGTTATGAATACTTATTTGGCCTGGTATTGGTAAAAACAACGTGTACGACTTGTATACATCTTGAAATAATTTTTTTTCGTATCATAGTTAATAAAATATATCGAGAACAACAAGGTTTCGCACAAAATAAATTTTTTTAAAAAAATCCAGGAGGGGAATGTTTTCGAAGCGGGCTCAGATTTGAGCCTGGTCAGTGGTAACTACCATAGCCATTTAGGACCATGTGGCGTCAGCAGAGCTTCTACGCATGCGCAGAAGGGCGAAGTCCGCCATGTTTTCGGCTTCAAAAAGATGGCGGCGAAGTTACCGAAAAATGACGAGCCGGTCCTCCAGGAATTATTATATAGCTCAGTGGAAACATCAGTCAAAAAAGGGAGCGCGATAATGGGGGGCAAATTCAAGTCCCGGATACTAAGCCAAGCGCTGATTGGCTAGATCAATGCCTCCTTAGCAACCACGTTAGCAACAACTAAAATTTGTATTAAAAAAATTATATTCATTTTTCAGGTCGCTTTGCCGGTTTTTTAAGGAAAAACAGTGTTTTTTGGAACTGGTTTTACTACCTTAGATATCCTGAAATGATATTTTATGGGAAAAAACCATTTAGAAATAAAAAAAACTCGTTAAAAACGACATATTTTGGCCTCGGACATCGTGAATGAGTGAACATCCGGGACTTGAATTTGCCCCCCATTAACGCGCTCCCCAATTTCTCCTCGATGCCCCCTCTAGTTTTATTTATAATCTCTATGCTCGCGCGCGTGTCGCGCTTACGTTGTTTACTTCGTCTATATATTATGACGTCATAATATATAGACGAAGTAAACAACGTAAGCGCGACACGCGCGCGAGTATCACACGCGCAAGTCAAAGTCTGGGCTGCCTATGATTATATCATGCCCCTTTTTGCATGTGGAAGTGGAAAAATTCTAGAAATTCTTTTCAAAATTAAATGTACCTGTCTGTAGGGTTGCTCAATTTCACTTTGCAATCGCATCCTCAGGATTTCCATTTTCTGAGGTGTGAAAACCTAAAAACACAGGTCTGCATAAATAGTCTTTTCGGCAAGGCTGTGTAATGTCATGTTATAAATTCAATGCAATACATACATGCAGAATAAACATAATGTCATTCATATTTCTAAACATTTACACTGGAGTACAATTTCCTCTTAGGGAATGGTAGAAACCGCTGCCTAATAGTTTCCCACATTTAATAATAAAGAACTCTTAATTTATTTGGTTAAATGATCAGGAATGAGCTTTTTAAAGGCAGACCACACTTTAGAACAAATGGCAATACTAGAAACTCTAAATCAATTCATGAATCATACCTGAGATCTGAGTTCTTCACATTCTTGAATCTTAGCATCTTTCTCTGTTCTCGTTCTTGTGATGAGATCTTGACATTGCTTTTGCATTTCTTTCATTTCTTCCCTTGCATCAGTTGAAGCTCTCTCACTTCGTTCTTTTTGCTTCAGGATGGAAGAAAAGAAACCAAATTCAACATGTGATATATTACAAAACTACAGTAATGGGTTAAGGATTACACTTTACTAGTGAAATAATGTTTGCAAACCTCTTGAAGTTGAATGTGTTCAGCTTTCAACATTTCATATGTTGTCTTTAGTTTTTCCATCCTCATGCGTTGCTCTGTGACCACTGACTCCAAATTGCCAACTCTTTCCAGTTTTTGGAGTATCTCAGTCTGGGACAATGGTTGTTCTCCTGCCATTGTACAGACTGTAAAATAAAATTTGGATGTCATTCTTGCTAAGGTTTATTTGTGTTAAATTACAACATACAGCGGCATATTACATATAGCCACACATTACATAGCAAGAGTAGAATTATCCCTGAAGTCACAATCAGGCAAATATAAAGACTATATGTTGTCTGAGCACAGGGCTGTAACTAGAACGGTAATTAGGGGGGTGTTTATACTCATATAGCCAGTTCTGCCTGACGGGTTTCTTTTGTAAGTGCAATAGCTTACAATAGAAATCCGTCGGGCAAAACTGAATATATGAATAAACACCCCCCAATTATCGTTCTAGTTACGGCCCTGTCTGCACATCCATGGGCCGGCAAACTAGCGTATGCATAAATGTTTGGCCACATGTATTGCATATGAAGTAAATGGTCTTGTTAAACAAAGCTTTAATGTCCTTGACCTTTCTCATAATGGTTTTGAACATGAAAAGTCTAATGTTGCAAAAAATTTGTTACATCAGGTTTTCAGCATTTGACATCATTATAAGGAAGATCTACTGGTTCTATCATATCAATCAGAGAGAATTTGATTTAGAAATTGTCCTGAATTTCATGTTTCAAATTTTCTAAGCTCCAATATCTCATATTCATTAAGAAGTTCAGGAGACCAAAATTATTGGATACATTTATCAACAGCACCTAAAACACATCTTAATCCAAACGTAATCAACTAACCTAAGTCTGGGTGCTCTATAATTGTGCCAGCTATGATATTTAATACATGGATTTGAATTTCTAAATTTAAAAATTGGCATATAAAACACTCAAAGCATCCGGTAAGTTTAGTCACTTTAACAATGTTGGACATTGTCACTTTTTCAACAAATTATAACATTAGTAAACATATTAGTTCATCGAAATAACTGTCTTACCTTTTATACAAGTTTAAGAAGCTATGATTTTACTGACATTATCACCTTTGAGTCAAAATATTTGTACAAAGATCACAAAGTTCCAGACTGTGTCGAAGTTTAAAACACCTGAAACTCCAATACTTCGTCTCGTCTAGCAAGGAAACGCGACGCTAAATTTGAGAGAAAGACCTTGTCTGTGCAAACTACATGTTACACTTCACAAAATGTTCTCAAAAGAAGTTCCCTCGGGATTTTCAGAACGTTCTATTTTGTTGTAAAAGTATTTTGAAATCCGCCGCCAAACAAGCGTCTTTGACAACCGTTGGGACTACCATTGCGCATGCTCATTCCATAAACCCAAATATCGTTGCAAAAAATACCAAAAGTGGCAAAAAGTGACGTACATTATTTGCCGTTAGGAAATGCAATTGTATTGTGAAAATTCTCTAAAAATTCAATACTGGATGAGACAAATCATTAGAATGTATATACTACAATGCAATATCGCACACCATGGACGTCTACGCAATACCGCTACGTCATACCTTCTCATTTCTAGGAATTAACAGAGATCAATAGAAATTGTCGACCTGAAATTCATAATCCCAAACTTCTATTATTTGTAGTAATATCCACTGTAATAATAGAGTAAAAAATCACTATACACCGCTAGTAACCCAATCCCAATTACTGTACATTTCATAAATATTGAATAATGAAAATCATCCCCCAAAGTCTATTATCATATGCATGCTACGGTAATTCACATTTCAAGCACATTTCAAGCAGGTTTTACTCAATGTTAATTAGTCATCATCAATATATTTCAAAGGAGGACTCGTTCACTGCAAGTAATGCGTTCACAAGTTCACAAGTGCCCATTGTATGGTATTTTATCATGTATAAACCAACGACGATATAATTTGTTAGCAGGGGAGCATTATACCAGGCTGTTAAATGGTAAATCGCGGGATTATGTAAAATTGCAATCGTCATTAAAGCCCTGTTCAAATAATTACACGCGCAAATTTTCGTTAACAATTTTCATTATGACATTTTACCCGTCTGCGAATGGAGGATCTGAAAGACGTTTGTCATGCCAAATGCATTTCGACGAAACGGATCGAAGGTAATTTTCAAAGCCAAAGAAAATTGCCAACCTGGAAAACCTGCTCGTGCAAATGGGGCTTATTAACAAGAGGTCGTTTCAGCTCCCTGTTCGCCTATGTTCACCTTTTGCACCCTCGTCATACTCTTGTTCAACTCATCACCCCGTTTTGTATGCATGGTATCCAGGGTAGAATCTTTGTTACAAGTTGTCGTCACGACAGCCGCCTGCGAGACGGTGTTGTTTGTCACTGCGAGCTGGTCCGAGGTGTCCAACAAACTGGTACCAAGCAATATGTGACAAATTTTCGGGCCAAACAACCCAATTAAGGTAATCCAACCGATTAAGACCACGGCGCTGCTTTCCCAGATGACCCGATGAAGACCATCCCCAGAACTGAGATAAGATGGAAAGAATATTATCCACACAAAACAAGTGAAGTACATTGTGAAGCCAATGTATTTTGCCTCGTTGAAATTTCTCGGGAACTTGCGTGTTTTGAAAGCCATCACTGTACACAGGACCATAAGGAACATGTTGTAAGATAACAGTGTCGCAAAGACATCCTTTTCCATCGAACATTCCGTGAACAAGGATTTCCCGCTGTGCATTTCGCGGTCAACAGGCTCCGGCGGTGTGGGGAAGAACGATATAAGCGAGAATAGTATCTGGATGGTTATCAGGCCAACTGCAATAAGGACCTGGGATGCAGGACTGATCAATATGGGCTTACCGGCCGACTTTCGCGCACTTTTAAAGATCCGGTAAATGCGAAGGATTTTCATGAAAAGCGGCGCGTAACAAGACGCCAACGCGACGCCGAGGACTATTGGTCGACATATGCACAACGAGGGTGTGGGTTTCGCCACCAACAACCAGGGGAAGATAAAGAGGAGGGCCAGACCCATGAGTATAATACCAGAGAGTTCACGACTGGAGGCCTTTATCAATGGGACGCTGCTATTTCGGAAGAATATCACGGTTGTTATAATGACGAACACCAAGCCGACCATCGAGACGGTTAGCATGGCTTGTGACGAACCCCTGGAGAACGCGCTCAGCGACGGAAGTGCTTCACAGCCAGTTTGGTTTATGTTGGGCACCGTGCCAAACGGGCATGGGGAACACGTATTGTTTTGGACAAAGTCACGCGGGTGACACTCCTCGCACGTCCAGCAACAATGTATATCGTGGTTACCTCTCTTATGACGGTAATACCCATTCATGCAATCATCACTACACGTGGAATCAGGGGGGTCGCTTCCGTTCGTGGGCCAACTTAACTGCGACGAATTCAACTGAAGGTGTCCATTCCAAATCCCCACAGGTCTGTACCTGTAGTGCCCGTTTCGTTTCTGAAAGCTGTAAATCGTGTAACCGCTGAGAATTTCCTGATTTCTATCAAAAGTGAGATTTTCTCCAGTTCCCTGATCGTCGAAAGTCACATTTTTCAAGTACTCAAGCAGAGTAGGGCGATCAATACTCAGTTGCCTGCAATTATTAAGATAGCAGTAGTCATTGACGTAATTATGCAGCGCATGCGCCATCGCGTAAACGGAGTTCACGACCGGTCGGACTGGGGCAAACTCGATTGGACTGGACTCCAAACTTTCGTTGCCCTGGCAGTATTTACCAAAGTCTGAAAGTGAATTCGAACCTTGCAGGTTGCAATGAAAATAAGATTCCCAGTACTGTTGGTTGTTAGCCACGAGTTATTTCTATTCTTCGCGTCGTTGACATTCAAGTTTCTGAAATACTCCTCGAATCCATCCACAGGTTTATTTAGAGCAGTCAATGTAATGGCGCCTTCGGCCAAACGCTCGAAATTTTCGACGGCATTCAAGTTATTTCCCCATCCGTCACTTCCGATCCAATAGAACCGTTTCGTGATGTTATTCCGGTGGAGCGCTTTCAGGATCAAACGCGTGTCGCGAATTGCCGTGTACATCACGATAGCGCGTGCTCGGGATACAGCGTCAAGCTTTCGGGCCAACTCGTCGTACTCTTTATCGGTCGGGAAAGAGGAGAGCTTTAGTTTTTCCGCAACGCAAATATGCCGCCTTTTTGCGGCGGCGACAAAATTTTCGATCCCCTTGTCGCCGTACAGTCCGCCAGAGTTGATAGTGATAACGTAATTCCAGCCGAGTTTCTGAATGATTTCCGCTATCGCGATGCCTTGTCTGGAGTCAGGGGAGACGGTCCTGAAAAAGTAGCTATAAATAGTCTTGTCGCTCAGCGCCGAAGCCGTGGCGCCGTAGCTTATCTGAGGGATTTCGAACACCCGAAGGAAGTCGGCGACGACCTTGGTGAGATCACTGGAGTGCGCACCGATGACTCCAACCAGCTGTCCGCTATCCGGTGTTTCAACTAAGGTCATCGTTATTAGTTTCTTTGTCATTTTTGCTCCGATGACCTACAAATTCAAGGAAAATAAGTTTTAGTACATCCGGCAACGGATCAGGGTACAAAAATCAAGCCAGATCCTCGACAAAACTGGATCATCATTCTAGTTCACTTCATGCAACTTTGGCACCTGAATTTTGAGCAATTCTATTATTTCTACCCAAAACGCATTCGTTTTTTTGTTACTTGTAAATTAGAATTTGAATTTTGAGCCACTGAAAAAGTCAATTATATTTGATGTAGAAATCTCGAGACTTTAGTTTAAAGGGAAATGTAAAAAAAACACACACAAAGTAATTGTCCATAGTAATTTGCCGTTCTTTGCAATCTTAACTCATCATTTAAGCTTGTATATGACGTAAAAGCAAGCAGCCCGAAAATTAGCGTGTCTTATTATCAATGTTTGTCATAAAACAATCGCGCACGCTTTTCTAGGCCTACCTATGATTTCACACCGAACAGCAGTTTCAGCAGATGTGGCAAATATGAGCATGTTAATGCAGTTGTTGAGCACTACTGACCTCTCCAGCAGTATTAGAGATCACCGGCGAACATATTTATGCACAGAAACATAAGGCTTGCAATATAAGTCAAAACACTGCCATGCAACCAAATGACGAGTTTTCCTCCCTCAAAACGCACAAAAACGAACAAAAACTTGCAAATGTTATTCGAAAAAAATACACATCGAAATATTTCATCATCTTTAAAATACCCTCGGTTACTCACGATTGACTAGCTTCGTCTGCTTTGATATCGAATTCGAAACTAAATCAAATTCGAATTAGCCCGGCATGCTATCGTCATTCAATTAGCTTGCCAGTCCCTCTGATGGAATAGAATACGACTAATTTGAATGTCAAACATTACCAGCCCGAGCCTCATGGAATATTCCAATATGCCTTTGATGTTCGCCGCTTATTGTTTGGCTGAGCTTCATTTATGCGCGAATTCTTTAAGCAGTTTCACGGTAGGGTTTTGCAGAGAATTTTGTTAGCTATTAGATTTCCACCGAAGGTCGGGTTGAAACAGTATACATGGAAAAGGAATTTGATATTGTGAAAGTGTCGCATGAGATTTTCTTAAGTAAATTGTAGGAGCGGCATTATTCTACCTCTTTCAGTTATGCTGACCCAGGGAAGAAGAAGTCGGCGTGTGACGGAGTAATGGACTACCTAACCCCCCCCCCCCCGTCGGCAACTTTATCATTAATCTAATCGAATACAATTTTTCACACATACCTGACTGTAACAGCTGTCGTAGATCTTCGCACCCAAGGTAATATTCGGAAGGATACTGGTGTCATTGTTGATCTTATCGATGGCGTATATCATTGATTGAAGGAGATGATATCCCGGCATGCTCTCGAACTTCCCACACGTGTTTTCGTTATGCCCACGGAAATGAAGGGAAAACAGACCGCCCAATATCAAGTCGCCATCTTTGTTTATGTAAAACATATCTAAACATATGTTAAATGAAAGCGTGTCAAGGATTGTTTCCACAACCTGATTTCGTGTAGCCGTGGAGATAATGTAAAATAAAGATTATCTCAAAGTGCAAGAGACTGATAGCTAGCCGGTGCAGAATAGCGTCTAGCGTTCCCACCTGCATGCAGTTATACTTGCAAACTACTGTCATCAGATAGACTTTTCGTCTGTCGACAGAATATAATTGAATTAGTGCATATTTGATTATAACTTATGTTAATCGCATCAAGACGGGATATTTTTCAATGTTAATTGCTGAATGTAAAAATGAAATATGTACTGTATGAATTAAGTTGACAGAGTTTGTAATGTGCACCTGCACTTCGAACTGAAGACGGATGTTGTTTAGGGTTCAGTCGTTTGGAAGAGAATCCTTCCGCTATAGTCTATAATTATGTAGACATAAAAAGTACATTTTGAAGAAAAAAAGGTCGCTAAAATAAGTGATGTTACAAGATGTTGTAAGATGCGGAAGAGATCGCCTTTGAAAATTTCCAATTTTCGTGACTTTTGTACATTGCCAGGGCCAAAGAAGAATTAAGCCTAAGTTGTAACAAATTCCGCCGCGGAAATTTTCGGTTTTCGAAGATCTATTTCCGCATCTCGTAAAAACATTTAATCGGAACTTTACAGTTTTTCCTTGACAATAACATTGTCATTGCTTCATATTCGTTCTTTTATGTTGTGCGTATATACGGCAAAACATTTACCAAGAAAATGGCTAAGGTCAATAAAAGAAGCTGATTCGAAAGCTTACCATGCACGACGGCAAATGAAAGGGGAACTGTTTGTGCCGGGATTCGGCCAACTGGGGAAGTTGTTTGTGGGAGAATAAACGAGATAATAAACTCATTCCATTGGTGACATTAGCAATGATAACACGAAGTTATAACTACATAAGCGTAAACTTAAATTCCTAATTAACAATAGCATCTTCTGCAATTGCAGCATGATTGTTGTAATAATACTCGAACGTACCTTCATCGTCGTCATCAACGTTGGCGAAAACAATTTTAAACAAGGTCATAGAAACCAAGAGCAGGAACAACTTCATCTTTTCAAATTTCAACTAATACTGACTTTTCTGTATACGTGAATTGGATTATTGGAGAGTTTCGCTTTCGTCCTGTACAAGTACAAAACAACAATTAACACGATCGTAAGACTAGATCTCATGCATTTTGAAATATCAATGCATTCGATGCGTGGCGTCAGTTTCTATATGGCGGGTGGCAGTTGCACAGTTGTCGAAATCGAAACAATTAATATCGTCGTAAACAAAAAGTTTTGCATAAATTTTCATGTACTATGCATACTTCATGTCATGTGTCAAACAAAAGAAAAGTTGGCACTTTCACTTTAGTTAGTTTTTGTGTTGTTGTTCTATAGTAACAGCTTTTTGATAAGCAGTTCTTAACAATGCGTCCTTCAAACCCACGTTTAATATATAATCAAAAGGCATGGCCTTTAAGTGCACAACTTAAAAATACGATTGTCTCTGGAGACCACTTGAAGTGTTGAAAATTTTCCTCTTTCGCACTATTTCCTTGCATGAGTGAGATGGGATTCATAAATCACTGATCTTTGTGAGGGCTGTTCACAGTTCACTGATCCCAATAAACAGACATTAAACGGAGCGTTAAATGACTTTGGCGTATTGAGATGAGCATATAAAACATGCTCTTGGCAGCCAGTGGTGCAGTCATCTAGACAATGGCACTTACTTGTTTTTTTTTATAAAGACATATTTCAATACTCATGCACACTTCGTTGAATCCGTTGGTATAACCGCGCAGACTCATGCATGTATAATTTTACTAACCATGCCGGGAGGGGATTGCTTCAAGAAGAAAGACAAAATGTGTTGTTTATGATTGCTATAATGCATTAAAGTTCTTAGGCGCCGTTTACACTATAACGGATTGAAAGGCTGTAGAAAATTTTAATAAGTTTTACTGTCAGTGATCGAAATAAATATTATTACCAAATCTATCAAACTAATCAAGCTATTGCTGCTAACCATGCATTGCCCTTTCAACGCGAACGAAGATATCATGACAAGCGAATCCTGTATAGCTAATGCATGAAAACGGGATCTTATATTAAGCCTGCGTTTACACGACAGGCCTAGACCTGGCCTGGAACAGGTCTAGGAAAAGTCTAGGTAGTATGTGCAACGTTCACCCTTTCTTCTTTGTTGATAATATCTGATAGCCAAAGTATATAATTGACATGCAACGCCGAGGTAATACTATATGGATCCTATACAAATCATACTATTAAGTTAAAAATTTCTCAGGACTGGGTAAAACCTGTTCACAATATCAAAATAGTGCTCCAGGTAAGGTCGAGTCTACCTTTTACCGTCGGCCCGGATTTTGTGGCCTAGACCAGGGCTGGACCTAGTCTAGGCCGGATAAACAACGTTTACGTCTAGGCCTAGGCCAGGTCAAAGCACGTAGTGTAAACGCGGTTTTAGATTCAACTAAGTTTGTTCTCCCAGGAAAAACCTTCACCCTAAACAAATAAGCTGTTAATTAAACTCCCCCATAAAAGAAAAATAATCAATATCAAAATGCTAAGCCTGTACGTGATTAAGGTTAAATTTTACTCCGCTGTTTTCGTTTATATTTGGTTTATGTATGGACTTTGCAAAATAAGGCTTCTATTGATCCAGAAAATATTTAGCTATTAAAAATGTTCAAAAACATGTTCATGCGATGAAAAAAATTGATGTAAAATTTTGTTTACCTAGCGTTAAGGTAACCGGCTTTTAAACAACTGGCCCCTGAATAATATCGGATTTCCCGAGGGATTTTCTGAGATAATCGACTCTGAATTGGCTATATTTTGCAGGTGTCTGATGTTCTGTGAATTAGATTAGATTAAAAGATTATAATAATTATAAAAATTATATAGATGTATATATGCATAAAGATGTCGAGGGTTTTATTCATAGAATGTGAGGGCGAAGCTAAACTTTCCTGTCAAACCAAAACAGAGGGTGTCTGTACGTGTTAATCGCAGGTTCATGTAATCAGCGGCGATAAACGCCAACAATGATATCACACATGGATGTACGCAAATATAGTCTACTGATCCTACCGGCGACAACCTGCGACCAGTGTTAGATCTGGTTTCCATGCATTTAATCGTAATTGTCGTGAACAACTTATGTTACCGATGATAAATAGTCCGGATGTAAACTTGTCTTTATTTCTGTATTCGAATTGGTCATTTTTGGCTGCACACGCATATATTTAACAGTTATTCTGCGAACTCGAGTCGTATTCGTTGCCTATCGGGCATATACGACGAGAGTGAGCAGAATAACTGTTTTATTATATACACAAACCTTGTCGCCCTTTCGGTGCATTTTGGTGTGCTATTATATCAACTAAAGCTTGGATTTCTATTTCACTCATCTCCCCAAATCTTTCAGCCATTTTGTTTACTTTCTCTACTAGGCAGATATGAGCTAATATCTGTCTAGTAGCCAACCAATGAAATTGCAGCATACCCATATCTGGCGCTTGTGTATATAATAAAGAAATATATTCTATCACATCTGCCACATTGACGTTTTCACGACACTCACGACTAAATGGAAACCAGGCATTAGGCGCGACGTTTATATTCGCAATTTTTGCTGATTTTTTTTTCCTTTTGATATAGATGTAAACAATTAAGCTAATAATTATGAAAGCGGTGCTTGCATATTCCCCTTTAATTTATGAAACATCCTTAGCTAGTTAGCTCATCCGCAAATTTGCATTCAAAGGAGAAGTCGTATAACGAAGATTACAAGCCAATATAATTAGTATAGGCCATGTTACTTATAGGTTCTCAAAAGCATACGATAGTGCTAGCTTTTGCCATTTCATGGTAGATGACAATTTCTGTAGCTATATTGCTAAAGCTATATGGTGATTTTAGGCTTAAAATTGATCGCTTCGGCATGCCCGATGCCCCCCTCCTGCGAAGAAATCGAAATCAGTGGCTCATGATACTCGTTCTGTGCGATACAGATATGAAAGCATTTTGCTTTCTTGTTGACTTTTCATTTTCTAAACATTAAATATCATACATTTTAAGCATGCATGTCTATTTTCTTCCCATTCTGCATGTGGTATATACATTATATATAAACTTGAATAAACTGTCCGATGAAAAAATCATTTTACAAATGCAAAGAATACCAAGTCCAAGGTTTGAGTTTTTGTTTGTTATCTTAAAGTTAATCCTTAATTCCGAATTTGGCTTTTCTCAAGCACACAAGTCATTAATCAACATTTAAACTATAAGTGAAATACGCCGCGTGATATTCTGCACGACCAATCATGCAGTATATATATAACGATGAAATGGAAATCTATACTTTGTGTTGTATTTCACCGGCATTTTTCAAGCGATGTTTAAAACCAATGTTGGAAAATTCTCTCGACATTCTCACAACACAAGGCATCGGCGAGCAGTGACAATGCATGGACGACAGGTTGCCGAAGGTCGCGATATACGCGAAACACAAAAAGCGCGCGAACTAAGCAGTGACGATATTGGCCACTGGCAATATTATAGTCTGTAGCTTATGCTTTGCCGCCGCGGTAATGAATATTGTAATGAAAAAGCCGTAGCGAATATCCTAATATAGGAATATTGTAATCTATACAGAGATAACATCGAACAATTCACTTTCGATAACTCTCATGGTGCAGATGCGCTTGCACATGCTGTGTTGCATGCAACTCAAAACTAAGGAAAAACAAATGAACGGATATATATTTAACAACATGCATCTTAGCATATAAACATGCTTTAGAAACCCTTAGTCGTTACGTGAACGTGATTTAAAAAAAAAAATAAAAACTCGTAATAGTCGTATATTTTAATTAAATAGTCTTGTGCTGATTTTTACCTGCATGCCACAAATGCTAAATAAATTATAAATAAAAAACCCCAGTCGCTATACATATAGTGCTGAAATGTCTCCTTAATTTTCTATTCTGCATTTGAACCAACATGAAATACTATGTACACTAACATTTAATATCATCAAACCACAGAAAATATACAAATGTACTTACTTTTTTAATGAAAGTTCGGCTTATGTATAACTATATAGTACACAGCTACATTGTTTCTTCACAACTGAGCAGCGAAAGGAAACGAATTTAGGCCAATGTGGGCCATTTCAATTTACCTTTAAATTTTAAGCAAATTGAACAGATCAAATTCGGAAAAATGCTGCACGTTGTAGGACGTTCATAAGCGCTTATGTTTGTTTAATATAACTCAGTTTTAATTGTGATTGCTTCCGAAAGAACGTTGTCCAATCGCGTTGCCTTATTCGGCAGCTGCGTTTTCTTTCGTCAAACTGAAAGTGTCATGGATGGATCCATGGAGCAATCAACCCACAATTATGTAAACCGATGATGCTTACATATACCCACTTTGAGTCAATGTTGTTTATTTTGAAAAATGGTATAGATAGACAATACACTTTGGGCTACAAAAAGATCTAAAGTGCCAATAGAAATGTAGGCATGTATATATAATATACGCTGAACAAAACCTCAATATATTTATACATGCACGTTTATATAGTCACATTTACTTGATTATCAGACGAGACGTTAGAGGCTATAATCATATACCTGAGACCGCCCTTCGGGGAATTATAATGAAATCATTATTTAAATATATGTTATCACATGTGCATGCAGGCGTATTTTATAAACTTAGCGAGCGATTATATAGTCTTGTAGCCTTAAGCCATTTCGGCCACAAAGAATTTGTGATATGTAAAAACGGATAAGCAGAATCTCGATAAGGCCGTTGATTTTAGCTATCTTAATGCGATTGCAGTACAAATCAGTTGTAAATGCATGCATGCCAATTCCGCAATTCGTTTAACAATAAAATTTTGGCCAGTCAACTCGAGTGTTGAAATATTGAGCAATACGATATACATAGAAAGCCGAGAAAATCATATAGGTGTATAGACCATACGCTAAAGCAAGTGTTTGTAATGATAAAAATTAAAAATTAAAAATGGAATTTTGAAAAGAAGCTCAAAAAATTTAATCCAAATTGAAATGGAAGTTTTAATTGAAAATTTCAACGCATTTTTGACTCCACGCGTGTGTGTTATTACTCATTTGCTATGATAGTGTCAAAGTGATATGAGAACAGCAGTTTGCTATATGATTAAAATCCTCAATTATATTAACTATGATTTATTATATAGTCTGAGGTATTTCAGGTCAGGGGACAGAGATATTTGAGAAAAAATAAACAAATTGTCTGATTTACAAACGAAGCTTCATATGAATAATGCTATAAATTAGCGAATTTTCGCGGAGCCATTCGTTTGCGATATCACTTGTATTCATTATATTGACAGGACTCGACGAAAATATTAATATGGACGTGTTAATGAATTTTTAACACAAGGACAGATATATCCAATATATGCGTTATTGAGATTTTTCAGTTTATTACATGCACTAAACTAATTATATATATATATATAATATATATATATATATACAGAGTAATATATTGATCAGAGAGGTGTTATAATGATTTTCAAAAACTTGCAAGCCAACCGATTTATCAGCAGGCACGAGTCTAAATATTTCCTATCAAATATTGATCTCTTTCCCTTATAAAATGATAGAAAAATTATCCACATGAAATGCATTCGAAAGACGCAATTTGTATTACCTAAGTAATCTGGCATGTCTGTTTAACTCAGCCCTGAGTCCAACACGTTTAACTGGCACGTACATTTCAAGCTGAGCTTCCTAAAAAACTCTGCAAAGACTCGTTTTAAATGAGGTGCCCGCCTTATAACTTACTATTAATAGCATCTCTCGATCTACATCATGCTTTCTTACTCGTTTTTCTTGCAAAGTTAATCCTGGTTGGATCGACTTAACCCACAAAAAAGCTTCAACTTGAACTCTCTCTCTACCAGTTGTATCATCGAAGGTTTGCTCTCATATTATTGCACCAGACATGCACTGAAAGACAAACGCCATCTCGGCCAAACGCAATCACGAATTTCCTTCGCTCATTTACAGCAGTTGGGGAGAAGTATATATTATGACAGCTTGATAGCTAGAGTTCCTGTAAGTGCCAGATAAACGTGCTCGTGATAGGTTTGAGATGTTTACAAATTGACGGGTATTCTTGGGTTTCAGGTGACGTCATAATTCCAGTGGGGGTCAACTCGAAATCGAGACACAGTAAATTGGAGTGAGTTCATTGTTCACTCTATGTGTTGGCTTTGTGCTTCGTAGTGAATATACGCAATCTTGTATTATTTGCTCACTCCTGTACAGCATAAGGGTCGAAGCAATGAAGGTTGTCTCCCATTCAAATCACTAGGAAAACAATACGTGAAACCCACCAATTCCACTAAAATAGCCTACGCTTATATGTATGCACTTGTTTATGATTTTACCTTTGATTATGATATGTAATTGTGTACAGTAGGAAAAGACAATATATATAGGCCGGCATGTTTACATGCACTTGCAGCAACGGGAGCGATTTTCTTTTTTTTGTACAAATGTAAACTGAAAGGGAATAGTCGTGAATGCATTTGTTCACATCATTTTAATAATAAGGTCTGTTCACACAATTCACTTCTGATGGATGTTTTATAGTCTTCTGACTTGCAATGTATATAGGCAGCAAATCTGACTTGCAATGTATGAAGGCCAGCGCAGTCTGCTTTATCGGTAACACACAACATTACATACGTCAGAAGTGAATTGGATCCAACAAAATTGGATCGTGTGAAAAGACACTTAAACGAAGAATATCGCAGCAAAAATAACAAGTGTCCACAAGCCTTGACAATAGCGAAAAAGTAAATCATCGACGGAGTAAAATCATCAGGATCTCGCTCATCTTTAGTGTGTGTTGTATCAAACTGATCAATCCCTTGGTTATAAGAGATAAAATCGCAATTCTAAAATCACATCGGTCAGTTTCATGCTCCACGACAGGTCACGACTAGTCACGACGGAGACAATCATGATTTGGGGGGGTCACGTGATAATGACAATTCTATTGTAGTTACCTACCGAACTCAGAAATTTATTCATTATTTTTATCTTAGTATATTAAGATATTGCTCTATGAATCATCAAATGCAAGTAAAGGAGAAGACATTGTCCTCTCAAAATATATTGTTTAAAAACAATCACAAACACAGATATTTGCCCGTGTGGAAGTTGAGGAGAATATACAGAGAGCCACTCAGCGTTAAATCAACCTCCTAGAGAAACAACCCTGCACAATGATGGGTTACAAACACAATATATGCTTGGGGACACACATTTGAAAGGTTCCAATTTGAATGGCCCTACTTTATGTTCTTTATACTGGGTCCGATTATCCCCTTGTATTGCGCTAGATGGTGCGTGTTATAAAGTAAACCGCTGTAGCACTGCGGCCCCGAAGCAGAGACAGGAAGTGAGAGTCACGCGCTTGAGAAAAACTGTCAACAACCTTAAGTATTTGCATACAATACGACTTTAGCTGTTAGCGTCACTGATTAGCGTACAATCAGTTCTATTATTATCTTCCTAGGAAAAACAGGATTCAGCCTTGGTGGCAACTTGGAGACTAAAATTAGTAAGATCAAAACATCATTCATTCCCGATACCGGATTCGGAAAACAATCTTAAGAATTTGCATACAATACAACATTAGGATCACTGATTAGCGTACAATCAGTTCTATTATTAATTCTCTTTCTGTGAGGAACAGAATCTAGCCTTTGGGGAAACTAAAATTAGACATCAGATAAAGATGAAAACATCATTCTTTCCAGATACCGGATTCGGAAAGCACCCTTGAAAAAGTTTGAATACAATACGACTTAAGTATCACTGATTAGCGTTAAATAAGGCCTATTGTTAATTATCTTCCTATTGGAAAAACATGCAGGTTTAGCCCAGGTAGCAACTTCAAGCCTAAAATTAGTAAGATTGCCAAGATGATACCGAATTCGTATGTGCAAGTCTTTCACTAATAGATTTCTAGAAGTCTTTTTAATATATTTCTATAGAAGAAACAGAAGATATATAATGATACTACTCGAAATATAAACTAGACATGCATAACAAACAACTCCCATATATATTTCCAAAATTTGGTGCTAAAATCCTTCAATTTTTATAATAGACCATTAATTAGGCATGTTTATTAATTAAACATATGCGCAATACTTAAGTTGACATTAAATTTACTTACATTGAAAATAAATGCACAAACACTTCCCAAAGATATATATATCAGGTTTATCCAATCATTATCCTGTTATGAACATTCATATAAAGTTTTAGGTTTTGAAATGAAACAATTAATTTGTACTAATAAACTTCAAAGACATCGCGAAATTGCTGCAGTATCGCTTGAAGTTTTCATTGGAATATCAAATGACACGATGTGTACACAAAAGTCACTGCTCCCGGTAAGGGGCGACAGTGAAATATTGGCATTTATGTCAATACCTTTTAATTCAACTTAACTCTCACTGCTTGCTCACATAAGAGTAAAGACAGAACCGAAGATCACTAAAGTAAACTGCCTTTGTTTACACGAGTCATTCATATTGTTTTGATAGAAATGCTAGTTCTGCTACAACAACTAAAGGAGGAAACATGCAGTTGAACCCAAAAAAATCCCACTAACTCACTAAGTTTCGTGGAAATAAACTGTTAGTAATCTCTCAGACGCAGCACCTGAATCAGTATAAAGAATGTACAGATTTCCACTCATGTCGGAGCCTTTCAAGTTAGCGTTCTCACGCTCACGCGTAAATCGCATTGCGCATCATCGTTCGTCTTCACTCTGGCCAGTAAATCACATATTGTTAAACTGAACAAACACGCTGAATTGGCTGATCTAATCATCTAAAAAACTGCACGAACAGTCCTTATTATAGCATGTTGTTGCATTTATATTATACTGTGACATACTAAAACTGAATTAGCCATCTCGAGGTTGCGGACGGCAACCTAAAACAAAGTCAAAGAGGGCGAAAACAAACAAACTTCGCACGAATGAATGTATTAAGTATATTTCAAACAAACTTTTAGTTCTCTGTTAGTTCTATCAATTATTTAATCAAATACTATTTGACGTGGTGAAAATCGCGACTATATATCCTGTTAGGAAAAACCTGCTTTAGTAAATTGCCATACGTTGGTAATTAATTCCTTGATACACTGAACAAAATTGGGCATGTGTTCATGGTTTAACGCTTGCTGATGGTACGCTAAACAATATAGCCGTCTAGATGTTCAGCAATTAGTCTAGACTGAACTCTTATATCTAAGAGATATACACAACGATATCAGACGTTTATCCATACAGACGCACATATGGCATTATAGTACTCCTATACTCATATACTCGGTTGTCACCAACAACTAAGATGACTTCACTTTCCCAATAATCCCACAAGCTTGCACAAATGTAGCCTGCATGCGATTCTATGCAACAGCTATATGATTGTAGCTAAGTTCCGAATATATGGATACGACATATTTTGCTGCCCAAAATCTCAAAAATCACTGGCCAGTCGTTTAACTCGTTTTAACTTTTAAACAAATATCATGGCGGCAACTTGATGCAAACTTCAACAATATTTCGTAATTTAATCAAACATCGACAAAACTTTGAAAAAAAGAGGTCAATTTGCAAACCAAAACGATCTTGAATGATTCAGCTTTACTGATTGGTAATTGAAGCAAAAAAATAACCGTAAGAACTGAAATCCGCGCAGTTTATTGTTCGTTTTTTCAAGCGGTGTTTCATTTTGACAAACGCAAGCCAATATTATATAATATGACACTATACCTTTGTTGTTTTGAAAAGCGCAAAATTTTCGCTAGTATTGTGAGTCAAACTACCTTTAACGATCGTCACCACGGGTAGCGTACGATTTTCCAACAATTCTCAGGCATCTTTAATCTTCTTTTAAGGACCAAATCGACATAAAACTCGACCGAATTTGACGCGAGCCACGGCTCTGCGGTTGAAATTTGTTTTGAGAGGACGCAAATATTATCTTTCTGAACCTGGTGAACAAATACGGAAAAGGCTCTTATATGGCTTCTGACAGGAGGTGGAATATTTGAATATGATTATGAGAAAAAGTCGCTCACTCAAACAGCCTAAAAGAGGTTTGCCAAAGAAGCAATACTGGTTAATAAGAAGAGGTAAAACTCACGAACTTTCCCGCCTACTGTCATCCATTATACGCTAATCTAACACAGTCACAGTATATTTTGCACTCCCTCAAGCAGGTTTGATTTTGATAATCCGAGAGTCAGTCATCATACGGCCGAGTATACATACACTCAGTATATCCAATTATTTCTCCTGCGAACTCTTAGCCCTTTCATTAACCCACCGAACAATGATTCTTTCAACACAAGAATTGTTTTGATATTATTGATTTGAGCATATAAGGAGATCAATTTTTGTCAAATTTTCGAAAATCTTTGTTAGAGTTTCTTTCTCCGGCGACAGAATTGGTAGAAAATATAATAGAGAGTAGAGACTATATATTAATGAAATCTTGTGAAAATGATTTTACTGCCTGGTGTTATTCATCAATTCTTAGCAATATTGAGGTCGTGGCATGTGAGATTGGCTCGACTCTAAAAGACAATAGGATGCTTAAGTAGCCCGCGTGATCACGAGTTGTCGAGGTTATTACAGTCGAGAAATATTTTGATTAAAGGTAGAGGTAACAATAGCAGGTCGATTTTGCCAAAACGAAAAACTATTGGCATTACAATTATGAGAAGTTTCAGTCATTTTGCTGCAAAATATGGTCTTCCAATTTTTGTTTAAGCCAAGGTTTTAGATAAGCTGCAAATTTTTTTCAATAGATGCCCCGGATATTTACGTCACAACATCGTTTTCAATTTAGAGCCACCTTAAATGAAATATTTTTTCACTGAAGTCTACTCTCACGAGCCACGTGTTAGGATGCAAAACTTCCTTCTGAAGCTGTGATTGGTTTTTTAAACAACTTTCTATAAAACTCACATGAATTATTATCATAGCGATTCACATACGAGTCAGACCCATGATCACTATAACCTTGTGAATATAGGTTTATTTTCTGTATGTAGATTGATATGCTACGGTGTTTAAACACATAATTTTATTAATTTTAATTTTAAGTTTAAGTCAGGTAAATAAATTGCAATCCTGCGCGAGCGAGAGTTTCACAGTCTTTCAACTCGACACACCGGACTTTCAGTCGTGTTGGTTTTTGGACCAGGAACTGGTCCCCACACGCGGCTAATCTTGTTGTTGTTGTTGTTGTTGTTGTTGTTGTTGTTGTTGTTGTTAGGGGGTGACGCTCTTTAAAAAAGCCTAAGGCTCCGTCAATTCGCATCAGATCGCAATTAAACTTCGTACAACTATCCTTAGCGATACTCCCCATCGATTGACGGAGTTATAATTTTGATTTTTTTTATTTTAAAGAAATTTAGAAGCAACTCATTTAAAGAAATTTAGAAGCAACTCAAATTGTAGCGTAGTAATCCGTATAGATTATATTCAATATTAGTATGCATAACTGAAGCAAGTTCAAATAGCTAAGGCTCCGTCATTTCGCACCAGATCGTGATAAAACTTCACACAACTATCTTAAACGTTATTCTCTATCGACTTACGGAGTTAAATTGTTTGTGCTTATATTCTTCAGAAGATTTGCAAGCCATGTCAGATTGTGGGGGAAGGCAAATTTTAATATTATTAATATTCATATACTATGAGTTCAAGCCAGAAGGTCGTGTATTTCCTTTGTTTTGTACACAATATATATTCATGACTGTGGGACCATTGCGTTAAATGCGTTTCTCTCTAGGGCATTACTTATTTTTTATTTATTTGTTTAGGCTTTGCCCAGCACACATATACACTGTACATAAAAAACGACTATAATGACAGTGGCACGATGCACGCAACGCTAGCTTCTCGCCAGCTACAGTGGCATAGATTAGGACATAGATGTGCAACTCGGACATTTTAAGTGTCTTTGTTTGAAAGCAGATGAGAAAATGTAGAAAAGCGATAATTTTAACATAACCGTTCGTACGATTGCCTAGGTTCATAGATATTTGAAATTTCATCCTGGAGAGAAAGATTGAATCTATACTTCACCAGTTCCTGGTCCAATAGTACGATCGTACTTGTTGACTAAACGACGATGAAACTATGCGCTTTGGCCACATCTAACTTCAGGCGATATTGTGTCGCCTCCGTAGCCTGTGTACGTGAGAGTTACTAGAGGTGTGGAGACCGGGGAGTCTGAGGGTGTGACACCACAATTAAAACAAAAATACATTGCTGCCTGAAACATGATGTTAGTGTTTGGGTTTGTTCCAACGGCTGCGTATAATGCCGTAATGCTGTAATACCGAAGGAACTAGATTGCAGTTTTGTTAGACATGTCGGGAGATCAGCCTGTACGAAAGCTGTTTCGGTCAACCAGTCAACCTAGTGCCTATAGTTGAATGTTTATATACGTACGTATTTCAGCTAACGCCTGATCCCAGTTGTTTCCACTTACAGAGAAGTAGTTCGCTAGCGAAATATTTGCATATTTTCTTTTGGAACGAGAACAGTCAAGTTGAACTAATTTATTTATGCTGTTAAAATTCTAAAGAAAATATGCAAATTCTCCCAAATTCTTCGCTAGCAAACTATTTCTCTGTAAGTGGAAATCCACCCTTATGATCTAAACCTTTGGAGTAAAATTTACCGTGCATTGTAGTGTGGTTCAGAATTTATCTCTTTCCTAATTGACTTTCGAATTTAGATATTGTTGAATACACTGTATATATATATATATATATATATATATATATATATATATATATATATATATATATATATATATATATATATACTTCCTAATGTGCATGGAAAGGGTTATTGGTAGTCATTAGTTCGGGGGACATTGGAGATTTTATGGTGCGATTAAGGGGGAGGTTCCGAAGATTTAGTAATCGTGGATTGTTAGGAAGACATTTTCATTCTCCCCCTGCGTCAACAATAATGAACGCACACATTTGGACAAAATACAACATTTGGGTACTCGGTATCATAATTGAATATATATATGCTAAGAATAACCACAATAACTTGAAATTACTGGTTTGAAATCTTGTAACTTCGGCTACTAAAACTTATGGCCTCCACAGACTAGGGATTTAGTTGTCGACAACTAAAAGTTATCGACAACTATAAAACGTAGTCTGTCGCGCAAGTTGTCGGCAACTAAACTTTAAATTCTTAGTTGTCGACAACTAAGCAGTTTCCCTTTTCGATAAAAGGGAAACTGCGTAGTTGTCGTCGACGGCCTCATTTTTTGGCGTTTTTCTAGTGTGTGAAAACTTTTGTTTTAGTTGTCGACTACTTTTAATCTCCGCGCTATTTCGGTTGCTAAATCAGTATTTGAGCGCCAGTGTGTGAAATCCTTTATCGATCAGACTTATTTAGTTGTCGATAACTAAAAGTTATCGACAACTAAATCCCTAGTCTGTGGACGCCCTTATTTACTATAACTTATTGTATTTTTACGTGAAATAGCTGCGTGGTCATAAAGAGTCTTTCACCACAATAACATGTTTTGCTAATACTATAGTATGGAACACCCTTACGTAATGTTTCAAAACCACACGTTTAATTCCTATACATTGTCATTGGAATTTTTAAAACCTGCCACAAAAAGCAAAGCCATTCTTCTAATACGATTCAGAAATTCTGAAATTACCAATACGAAACTTTTTTTTTTATATGTTCTTTATCTCATCACTACAAGTTTTCACAGGGATATTTTTCGGATGCGAATTGTTTTGCGATTTTACAGAAAAGTCTCGGTTTTCCTTGAATTGTATTAAATTACGTAGTATACAATATATAACGCATGCACTTATAACAATTTCTTATGATGACACGATGTAAATTCAGTTGCGGCTAGTCGGAATCACTGTCGTGTAAATATCGTGTATCGAACTTGTGATAATGAATAGTAGACTTCACCCAAGCAAGTGCACCATTAGGATGGCAAACAGGTTCAACTCCACGATAATTGAATTCTTTCGGCATGTTATTGTTACTGAGTACATACGAACGTTGCAGTTCACCAGTTCGATCAGAAAAATATTGTAAAAATAAATCGCTAACTCTCCCAGTGCCGAAAACAATGAAACTCTTGCTAACTTTGTTGTAAGTTATTCTCCAGGAACACTCAGCTTGCTCAATAGGACGAAATTTAACAGTCCTTTGCAACTCTCCTTGTTCGGTGAAGATGGGGACAACATATGAATTCTTTAAATACATATTATCCGTTTTTGTTGCAACTATCACTTCATCGTCACAAGAAACAGACACAAACTGTAAGTCGTAAATGGTTTTGTTCAATAAACTTTTGTTGAAGGCAAAGCTGTGTTTCAATTCTCCAAAATCATCACATTCACTGATACTGAAGACTTCTCCTTGTTCAAGAGAACGCTGACAAACCAATATATATTTGCATTTGGTCACAGCGATTGCAGTATCAACATTAAAAAGGAAAAAGTTTAGAGGAAAATTATAAAAGCTATCTGCATAGTAGCTTGATAACATGTAATTACCATCATAAGTTCCATCAAACCATAGAACGTACGCAGTGCCATCTTCATGGACAGCAACATCAATGATACGCTTTGGGTTGTGATCTTTGTGTTCACGTCTTGAGTAAGTACGACAATACGGTTGCAGTTTACCAGTTGTTTTGTCGAGTATTATTTGAGAACCAAGGCTATTACGCTCGTAACAGACGCGATTTCGGGCTCTTCTTTTTAGTACATGTGTGAAAAAGAGAGCTTCATTATCATCAAGGTCATTGTTTTCAATGTCCCAGGGGGGAAATACATCCAGTTTTAGGCACAGTCTTGTTAAATAACAACCACTATGAATTGGGTGTACACAACGAGTTCCACATTCGATCATCGGCCAATCCAGCACAGCCATTCTTTGCTCTGTAAACTTC